TGTAATTATGTTACTCCAGGGTTAATAAAAAGAAAATAACCTATTGTAATTACGTTACTCCAGGGTTAATAAAAATAAATAACCTATTGTAATTATGGTTACTCCAGGGTTAATAAAAAGAAATAACCTATGTAATTACGTTACTCCAGGGTTAATAAAAAAGAAATAACCTATGTAATTATGTTACTCCCAGGGTTAATAAAAAGAAATAACCTATGTAATTACGTTACTCCAGGTGTTAATAAAAAGAAATAACCTATGTAATTACGTTACTCCAGGGGTTAATAAAAAGAAATAACCTATGTAATTACGGTTACACCAGGGTTAATAAAAAGAAAAAAACCTATGTAATTATGTTACACCCAGGGTTAATAAAAAGAAATAACCTATGTTAATTACGTTACTCCAGGGTTAATAAAAAGAAATAACCTATGTAATTATGTTACTCCAGGGTTAATAAAAAGAAATAACCTATGTAATTACGTTACTCCAGGGTTAATAAAAAGAAATAACCTATGTAATTATGTTACACCAGGGTTAATAAAAAGAAAATAACCTATGTAATTACGTTACACCAGGGTTTAATAAAAAGAAATAAACCTATGTAATTACGTTACTCCAGGGTTAATAAAAAGAAATAACCTATGTAATTACGTTACTCCAGGGTTAATAAAAAGAAATAACCTATGTAATTACGTTACTCCAGGGTTAATAAAAAGAAATAACCTATGTAATTACGTTACTCCAGGGTTAATAAAAAGAAATAACCTATGTAATTACGTTACTCCAGGGTTAATAAAAAGAAATAACCTATGTAATACGTTACTCCAGGGTTAATAAAAAGAAATAACCTATGTAATTACGTTACTCCAGGGTTAATAAAAAGAAATAACCTATGTAATTACGTTACTCCAGGGTTAATAAAAGAAAATAACCTATGTAATTACGTTACTACCAGGGTTAATAAAAAGAAATAACCTATGTAATTACGTTACTCCAGGGTTAATAAAAAGAAATAACCTATGTAATTATGTTACTCCAGGGTTAATAAAAAGAAATAACCTATGTAATTATGTTACTCCAGGGTTAATAAAAAGAAATAACCTATGTAATTATGTTACACCAGGTATGTATGTACAGGTAGTTGTACTTGTACTTATCTTTGTTGTGATACAAGTTGTAAGTGCTCTATAGCTGCTAGCATGTACTTGCTAGCATGAGAAAAAGTAATTACAGTTATTGGTGATCTAGCTGATCTAGCTATCTGGATCTACTCATCGAGCAGTAGCGAGGAGCGAGCGAGCGAGCATGCAGCGAGAGCGATGCAGCGAGTCGACTAGCTAGCTACGAGCATCTATCGATCAGCGATCTATCTATCGATCATGCATCTACTATCTAGCATCATCTATCGATCTATCTAGCTACTATCTATCGATCTGATCTATCTATCTATCATCTTCAATCTATCTTATATCTGAGTGTGAACCTGTTCTTCACCACATCTATAAGCACAAATCTCTGGGTTGTGGGTTTTTGCATCGATTTCAACACAACACACACACACCAACTCGCTAGCGCTCGAAGAGAGAGCGAGGAGAGATCGATCGCGATAGCGAGCGATCTCAGCGATCTCGCGCGATGATCTATCTAGCGTCTCTATATGCTCTCGCTCTCCAGCTCTCTCTTCTCTGCTTTCTCTCTATCTCCTCTCTCTCTCTCTCTCTCTCTCTCCTCTCTCTCTCTCTAACACATGCACACACACTGACCCAGATTTAGACACTTGGTGCTCCCAGATCTGAGTCATTCTGGTTACAATCCAGTGGGGATTTCAAATGTCTACTGGGATGATTGGATGGTCCAATCACCTAATCGCTCAATCACACCAGCTTGCATGCTCAGCACTGTGTGTGTGAGTGAGTGAGTGATTGATTGATTGAGAGAGCGAGAAAGAGAGGGAGAAAGAGAGAGAGAGAGAGTGAGGGTGTTTGTGTGTGTGGGTGGGTGCACTGTGTATGTGAGCATTGAAGAGTTACGGATGGCTGGGGAGTGTGTGTTTGACTCTCTCTCTCTCTCTCTCTCTCTCTCTCTCTCTCTCTCTCTCTCTCTCTCTCTCTCTCCCTTACCATAGATGGGCTGCTTTGGACTGGTCTGGGCTAGACTGAATAGACTAGCAGGACCTACTATAGCAGCTGATCTAAGCTAGCAGGACCTACCATAGCAGGGTTGGCCTGGTTTGGCCTTAGCTAGCTGGGTATACCGTAGCAGGGCTGCTCTAGGCTAGCCTGGCAGGGCCGAGCATGGCTGTCTGCTTTGGGCAGACCTCTCCTCCCTCACAACCCCGGTTTACCTCTGCCTGGCTGGTTCGCCTAAACCTCAAGCTCCAGAGAGAGAACGGAACCAGGGTCTGGGCCTTGTGGTCGCCAGAGGAACCTCTGGATGTATGGCTTCTGTAATTAGTCTGCTAGCCAGTGCTAGCCCTGTATTTATGAGCAGGCTAATTGTAGAGAGTACAGAGAGACATGGCTCAGTTATAGCCGCTGGGTCTTTGAGCTTTGACCGTCTGCTGTACTGCTGCTGACAGTGGATGACCATGGCTATATGTTTGGCTGGCTGGCAGTTTGTCTGGCTGTCTGGTTGGCTGGCTGGCTGGCTGTTTGTCTGGCTGGCAGTTTGTCTGGCTGTCTGGTTGGCTGGCTGGCTGGCTGGCTGGCTGGCTGGCTGGCTGTTTGTCTGGCTGGCAGTTTGGCTGGCTGGCTGTTTGTCTGGCTGGCAGTTTGTCTGGCTGGCTGGTTGACTGGTTGGCTGGCTGTTTGTCTAGCTGGCTAGCTGGCTAGTTGACTGACTGGCTGGCTGGCTGGCTGTTTGTCTGGTTGGCTGGTTGGCTGTTTGTCTGGCTGGCTGTTTGACTGGCTGGCGGGATGTTTGGCTGGCGGGCTGGCTGGTGGGCTGACTGGCTGGCTGTTTGTCTGGCTGGCTCGCTGATTGGCTGACTGAATGGCTGTCTGTCTGTTTGTCTAGCTGGCAGGCTGAATGACTGACTGACTGGCTTGCTGTTTATCTGGCTGGCTGACTGGATGACTGTCTTGTCTGTCTTGTCCGTTTGTCTTTAGACACCACTACAACAATTGTTATAGATGAGCTATACATTCAACACTTTTAGTTATGATTACTATAATCATCTTTGTCTCCCATTGAATTCACGCTTGAGCCATTGTGAATAAAACATGTGAGAATATCTGTCTAGTCAGAGAAAATGGCAACTAGTCAATCTCTGATCCCTCTCTCTCAGGTAAAAATAACTTGAGCGCCCCAGTTTCCCACATTCAGAGCTCTGTCCATTCACACTCTCACACATTATTTTCCCGTCTTTCTTTGCCTAGCTAGGCTATAACTCACACACACACAGCCCCCCCTCCAGCCTCCACATCCGTGATGGGACTGTCATGCAGAAAGACACTATTGTGCCGGCTTGGATCCTGTTTCACTCCTGCCCTGTAATTAAGAAGGGATTGCCTAGCTGGGCTGGGCTGGGGAGAGCTGGGTTGGGGGCTGGGGCTGGAGATGGGGGTGGGATCCAGGCATTTCATGGCTTGGCTATGCCTCGGCAACACATATTCCAAAGCTAGGGAGATCTTGATGAGGGACTGATGCTGGGGGTGGGGCACAGGGTTAGGAATTATTAGGTGATTTGGTTAAAAAGCAGAGCCTGCCCTGCTGTGTGTGTAGTGAGAGAGCGACAGTTTGAGGTTCAAAGAGGAAACGTGTATTTAACTGTGTCATCATGAAGTCATCGCTGAGTGGTGAGTGTTTGTTTTTCTCACATTGTCCCACTGAGTCATGGGAAGTGAAGTAGGGATGAGTTGTGAGGTGAAACACTCTTTCCCCACAAAGATCTTCAAAAGGGTTTTCACTTTTTTTTACACTTGTTTTCACTTGATTTCACTTGATTTCACTTGTTTTCACTTGATTTAACTTGTTTTCACTTGATTTCATTTGATTTAACTTGATTTAACTTGTTTTCATTTGATTTCACTTGATTTCACTTGCTTTCACTTGTTTTCACTTGTTTTCACTTGTTTTCACTTGATTTCACTTGTTTTAATTTGAATTAACTTGATTTCACTTGATTTCACATGATTTCACTTGTTTTCACTTGTATTCACTTGTTTTCACTTGATTTCACTTGTTTTCACTTGTTTTCACTTGATTTCACTTGATTTCACATGATTTCACTTGTTTTCACTTGTATTCACTTGTTTTCACTTGATTTCACTTGTTTTCACTTGATTTCACTTGTTTTAATTTGATTTAACTTGATTTCACTTGATTTCACATGATTTCACTTGTTTTCACTTGTTTTCACTTGATTTCACTTGTTTTCACTTGATTTCACTTGATTTCACATGATTTCATTTGATTTAACTTGATTTAACTTGTTTTCATTTGATTTCACTTGATTTCACTTGCTTTCACTTGTTTTCACTTGTTTTCACTTGATTTCACTTGTTTTAATTTGATTTAACTTGATTTCACTTGATTTCACATGATTTCACTTGTTTTCACTTGTATTCACTTGTTTTCACTTGATTTCACTTGTTTTCACTTGTTTTCACTTGATTTCACTTGATTTCACATGATTTCACTTGTTTTCACTTGTATTCACTTGTTTTCACTTGATTTCACTTGTTTTCACTTGTTTTCACTTGTTTTCACTTGATTTCACTTGTTTTCACTTGATTTCACTTGTTTTCACTTGTATTCACTTGTTTTCACTTGATTTCACTTGTTTTCACTTGATTTCACTCGATAAAAAAAAAACGTTAAAAAAGTTACACGTATTGTAACTGTTTGCTGCTCCATTCCCGTGGCCTGGCTCTGGCTCTGTGTGTGTGTGTGTGCAGTGTGTATTAATCACTGTGTGTTGTTCTGCAGGTTCGGGTCAGTCGGTCAGTTACCAGTTGACAGGGTCCATCCATCCAGCGGACAGCGGTGCGGTCAACATGGCGGACGTCTTGGAGAGTGGCAGGGCGGGTGCAGGCTCTGTAGTAGGAGCGGGCAGCGTGGATTGGCAGAAGCGTTGCGTTGCCCTGGAGATGCAGCTGCTCAGGTTCCGTCTGCAGGCGGGGAAGATCCGAGAGCTGCTGGCCGAGAAGGTGAGAGAGAGAGGGGCATCATGGGGAATGTAGTACTATCTAAGGGAAAAGTCCCAGCAAACACACAACCTCCACACAACGTTGATTCCAAGTTGTGGGCATCAACGTCATGTGCCAATGCTACTTTGTACTGTCTAAGGCAGTGTTTCTTCATCCTGGTCCTGGGGACCCAAGGAAACACACATTTTGTTTTTTTTACCTGGCACTACACACCTGATTCCACTAATCAAGTCATTATCAAACCTGTGACTAGTGGAATCAGGTGTGTAGTGCTAGGGCAAAAACAAAAATGTGCACCTTCTTAGGTCCCCAAGACCAGGATTAAGAAACCACAGGTGTAAGAGGAAAGTAAGAACTGTAGTGCAAATCTATTTTAGCATCACAAATCATAAAGTATGGGATTAAGTTTTCCACCCACGGAGCAGCCTTGCCAATGTTTGTTTTGACCTTACATTGATTTGATGTGCATGAATGAACTGTATTGCGTTATTCACCGTTTTACAGCCAACAGACCCACACAGTGTTGGAACTGGTAATGCTATGGTGACATTTCTCTGTGCTGATCTAGTAGAACAGTAGGCTGGTTTAGGAACATGATTTTCATTGGGCTATTCCTCCTCCAGTTGTGACACTGACATAAAAGACTACCTGTGATTGGCCACCTAAAACCTCCCTCCTTCTATCCCCTGTTCTACTTCTAGACTCTGTCAGTCATGCTGCATTGACCTCTGTGTTGCAACAAACGGTTAACTGTCTGGTCCTTGGCAGACAGCCCTGCACGAAAGCAGGGAAACTACTGACTCGTGTGAATGAGTGCCTGAGTGAAAATACAGGTGTGTCCCCGTGTGGAAATAGGCTTTCTCTAGATTTGTCCAGTCTCTCTACAGTACGTGTTCTGAGAAAGATCCTCATAAAATAATTCCAGGAACAGTATAGCAACATTTACGAGGGATCATTCCTTAGAATGTTGAATTGTAATTATTATTATTATTATTATTGAATTGTAACATGAAATTAAAGTTTTCCTTTGACGTTGTCAGAATGTCATGCTTGTTCCGAAACATTCTAATAATGTTCAGAGTAACGTTGTTAGTAAGCAACCAAATGTCAACCAAATGAAACTCACTTTGTTCAGGGACTGCTTCTTGCTAGCTGCTATATATATGGGGTTTTCACTACTCATAATAAAACCAATTATCTTTGCATTGTTTTAGTAAGGAGGATTGTCATGGTAGATCATTCTATAATAGATATATACTGTATATTATACAGTTGAAGTCGGAAGTTTACATACAATTAGGTTGGAGTCATTAAAACTTGTTTTTCAACCACTCCACACATTTCTTGTTAACAAACTATAGTTTTGGCAAGTTGGTTAGGACATCTACTTTGTGCATGACACAAGTAATTCTTCCAACAATTGTTTACAGACAGATTATTTCACGTTATAATTCACTGTATCACAATTCCAGTGGGTCAGAAGTTTACATACACTAAGTTGACTGCGCCTTTAAACAGCTTGGAATATTCCAGAAAATGATGTCATGGCTTTAGAAGCTTCTGATAGGCTAATTGACATCATTTGAGTCAATTGGAGGTGTACCTGTGGATGTATTTCAAGGCCTACCTCCAAAATCAGTGCCTCTTTGCTTGACATCATAGGAAAATCAAAAGAAATCAGCCAAGACCTCAGAAAAAAATTGTAGACCTCCACAAGTCTGGTTCATCTTGGGAGCAATTTCCAAACGCCTGAAGGTACCACGTTCATCTGTACAAGCAATAGTACGCAAGTATTACATTTTTACATTTTAGTCATTTAGCAGACGCTCTTATCCAGAGCGACTTACAGTTAGTGAGTGCATACATTTTCATACTGGCCCCCCGTGGGAAACGAACCCACAACCCTGGCATTGCAAGCGCCATGCTCTACCAACTCAGCTATAAACACCATGGGACCACGCAGCCATCATACCGCTCAGGAAGGAGACGCGTTCTGTCTCCTAGAGATGAACGTACTTTGGTGCACAGCAAAGGACCTTGTGAAGATGCTGGAGGAAACAGGTGCAAAAGTATCTATATCCACAGTAAAATGAGTCCTATATCGACATAATGAGATTAATATCTTCCTAAAGCATGACCCTGAGGACATAATGAGATTAATATATTCCTAAAGCATGACCCTGAGGACATAATGAGATTAATATCTTCCCAAAGCATGACCCTGAGTACGTAATTAAATTAATATCTTCCTAAAGCATGACCCTGAGGAGTGCAGACTGCTCTGTCATGTGACTCTGGTCAATGGGGTCACCTAGAGAGGCAGTCAATAGATGGCAAAAGGCTACTGTCTTTGAGTGCACTGCATTAAACATGATTTGTTGGGTTAGGTTGTTGATTTCCTAATACTGTAAGGAAGCGTGTGGAGCCTACAACCATAGAATGAGGACAGGGCAAGGGACGCTGGAAGCTGTGAAATAAGCTGTTGGGCTTGAAGTTTAAAGAGAAAGGACTATATATCTCTCTCTCTTTCTCTCCCACCCCCTCTTCTCTTGACCATCTGTCCTTTTGTAACAATTGAACCTCTGGATGTCCAATTAATGATTGAGCTACAGCTTTTCACTACTCTATGAACAGTAACAACAGCTCTCACTAACCATCAACAGCCATATCACTAACAGTTAATGATTATAGTCAGTCTCAACTGAAACACTGAGGTAGATGGTTGGGGGAGAACAGCCCTCTCTCTCTCTCTCTCTCTCTCTCTCTCCTCTCTCTCTCTCTCTCTCTCTCTCTCTCTCTCTCTCTCTTCTTCTCTCTCTTTCATCTTAGCAGTATGGCTAACCTGCTGACCATCAGCAGATTTCTGAGCTTTGCAAAAAGGTGTAGAATGCAGGTATAAAGTACAAAGTCATGGGAGGATGCTTAGCTGCCTGTGTGTTACTGCTAGCTGCATTTTCAGGTTTCACCATGTGTTTACTTAGAGTTGTCAGTAGTAGTAGTAGTAGTAGTAGTAGTAGTAGTAGTAGTAGTAGAAGTATGTTTATTTCTTTATTTGGATCCCCATTAGCTTTTGCAGAAGCATCAGGTACTCTTCCTGGGTTCCACAAAAAACACAAAACATGACAAGTAACAAAACACTGATAGACAAGGACAGTCACACAAATACAACTAAAAACTGTTTGTTAGTGTGTCTGTGTGTTTGTTAGTGTGTCTGTGTGTTTGTTAGTGTGTCTGTGTGTTTGTTAGTGTGTCTGTGTGTTTGTGTGTGTGTCTGTGTGTTTGTTAGTGTGTCTGTGTGTTTGTGTGTGTGTCCCCTCACAGTCCCCGCCGTTCCATGAGATGTTGTTTAATCAGATTTTTAAAGGCCATTTTGCTGTTTTTGGAGATGGAAGGGAGTTCGATGCAAACATGGCTCTGTGTAATACCGTGCATTGCTATGAATTCATTTTGGACTTGGGGACTGTAAGAGACCCCTGGTGGCATGTCTTGTGGGGTATGTATGGGTGTCTGAGCTGAATGTTATTTGATTGTGCAGACAATCTGGAATTTTCATCACAGTAATATTTCTCATGACAACTAGAAGAGAAGCAGTATATAGTATATAGTATACTTCCCCAGAGTCATATGAACTCGTGGATACCATTTTCATGTCTCTGTGTCAAGTATGAAGGAAGTTAGATGTAGTTTTGCGTAGTGACTATGGTATCTGCTAGCAGGGTATCTACTAGCATGCTAGGATATAACATAGACTTTCAATGATTATGCTAACGCTAGCGAAACTGCCTCTAACTTTCTTCATACTTCATACACAGAGATAAAAATGGTATCCATGAGTTCATCTGACTCTGGGGAAGTAGATCAAATCCCATATCCCTTTAATCTCTCGTTAACCCTTAACCAGGAAAGACTGGCATGCATGTTGTTGATGTTAGTTCCCGCTCAGCCCAGTCAAAACTGTTCGCTGCTCTGGCACCCCAATGGTGGAACAAGCTCCCTCACGACGCCAGGACAGCGGAGTCACTCACCACCTTCCGGAGACATTTGAAACCCCACCTCTTTAAGGAATACCTGGGATAGGATAAAGTAATCCTTCTACCCCCCCCCCCCCCCCCTTACCCCAACCCAAACCCCAACCCCCCCCCCCAAAAAAAAAAAAAAAAAACATTGTAAAGTGGTGATCCCACTGGCTATAAGGTGAATGCACCTATTTGTAAGTCGCTCTGGATAAGAGCGTCTGCTAAATGACGTAAATGTAAATGTAAATGTATGTGTAGTTAAGGGCAAGTTGTGCTGCTCTGTTTTGAGCCAGCTACAGCTTTGCTAGATCTTTCTTTGCTGCACTTGATCATATTACCGGACTGTAATCCAAATTGGACAAGACCAGACCCTTAATAACTAGTACAGGTGATTTTTGTGTCAAAAACGTAGAACATTTTTTTTATAACAGACATACCCCTCCCCATCTTCACAACAACTTTGTCAGTATGACTTGATCTTGATACTGTATTTGACCATCCAATGTTATACCTAGGTGTTAAGATTCTTCAACTTCCTCAATTGTCACACCTTTTATGCACAACTCCAGTTGAGGTTTAGGTCTTAGAGAATGTTTTGAACTAAATACAATGCTTTTAGTTTTAGATGTATTTAAGACCAGTTTATTATTAATCACCCATTCTGATACAGACTATTGGATAAATAACTCTGCAACCATGTGATGTAAAGCCATAGCCAGTGAGTTTCTTCAATAACAATTTATGATCAATAATATCAAAGGATGCCCTGAAATCTAACATATCAGCTCAAACTATCATCTTATTATCCATTTATTTTAACCAATCATCTGTCATCTGAGTCAGTGCAGTAAAAGTTGAGTGCCCTTAACTTGTTCTCTGAAAAATAGCCTTGTATTTGGTCAAACACAATTCTCTCCATCAGTTTACTGAGAACAGGCAGCAAACTGATTGGCCAGGTGTGCTTTAATGTTTTTTGGTAGTGGAATTACTTTAGCTTCCTTCCACGCCTATGGACACACATACTCCTTTAGGCTTTGGTTAAAGATATATCAAAATAGGGGTGACAATACAGTCTGCTACCATTATCAATAGTTTCCCATCAAGGTTGTCTATACCTGGTGGCTTATCATTATTGATGAATAACAAAAGTTTTTCCACCTCTTCCACACTAACTTGGCCAAATTCAAAACAGCAATCTTTTTTCTTCATTATTAGATTTTTTTATACTCAAATATGATGGTTCACTGGCTAATGTTGTCATTTCACTTCTAAGTTTTTTCACTTTACTAGTGAAATAGTCATTGAAATGATCGGCAATATCGAAAGGTTTTGTTATAAATGACCCATCAACTTCAATGAACGATGGAGTTTAATTGGGTTTTCTGCCCATGATATCATTTTAAGGTTCTCCGAAGTATTTTTCCATTGTGTTTTATGTAATTTATCTTGGTTGGGTAATATAATTTCTTATTTTTGTTAAGTTTAGTCACAACATTTCACAATTGACAGTATGTCAACCAATCAGCTGAGCAGCCTGACTTGTTGGCCACCTCTTTTGCAAAACATTTTCAGTTCAACATCAATCCAGGGTGCTGTAACAGTTCTCACAGTTAATTTCTTAACAGGTATTAACAGCACTGTTGTCTATCACCGAGCTATCAGCTGTTAGTGGATGAGATGACCCGCTGTCTGTCTCTCGTCCAGTCTGTTATCCTTCCTGTCACTATCTCTCTGTCTGTCCACCTCCCTCCCTGGATACTATCAGCCCCCCGTGGATTCCTCAATGTAGAAAGGAGAGAAGTGTCATTCCTGCCTTACATCATTACTACTCCTCTCTGCTTAACCTTCTAAACACTTTTGAAAGGGAAATGTAGGCCATTTTGATCTTAATAACTTAAAAACGGAGCATTTTAAATGATTAGATTCATCTTAGACTCTATGCTCTTACAATTGAGGAGCTTGGTGAAATATGACAGCTTATTAAATGCAGCAGTAAGCAGATTCTGAAGTCAGTCAGAGTGAACAACAGTTTCTGGATACTTGACATAGTTGTCTCATGCCTGGTCAGCACCTGTTGATCCCTGTGGTAACCAGGGGGGCTGGAGACGGGCACAGAGCCCTACAGACACACATGCACGCACACACACACACACACACACTTACGGCCATATACACACACACACTTAGGGACACACACTTAAGGACACACACACACAGACAAAGACACATAAAACAGACACACACACACAGTACTGTGTCAGCCGTCAGCCTACGAGGAACTTATACAGCTCAAGTCTCAATCCCATGACCTCTGACCTCTAACCTCTGACCTCCTCTGCTTTCTAACTTGGATGTGCAAGCTACTTTAATGGAAATAATATTTTATAAGTACCGCCTACGGCCCTTAGTTGTCATCTTGGCTTGCTAAAAAACTTGCTGAGAGACTGTATGCTAACCATTTTTAGGGTTAAAGGTTAAAGTAAAGTGGTGAAGACTTTTGTTTACTCCTCTGACTCCTCTCCCACTTGGCCAGGTCTTTTGACCTTGAGGTGAGGAGTCATTCAACCACTAACCACCACCAACAACCTCCTTCCCTGTGTTCTCCATCTCTACCCTAGCTTTAATCAGTGTTATTCTAGGCGTGAGTGACTGAGGCAGTGTCCTAAATGGCATCATATTCCCTAAATAGTGCACTACTTTTGATCAGAGCCCTATGAGCCCTGGTAAAAGAAATAGTGCCAATTGGGATGGACCCTGAGTGTCCAACTGGTGTGAGTGGATTCCCGGAATCTGTTCTGTGCCCTTTGGAGTTTATGAGCAATGGAAGTAGAATGCTTCTAAACAATGTCCTTTCCTCTCCTCTCCTCCTCTCTTCTCCTCTCGTCTCCTCTCTTTCAAGCAGTGGGATTCCATTAGTGTGTTTGTCCCTCTTACAGGTTACTGAACTGAACCTGAGGGAAGAGAGGACATGCTGGGTCACACTGTGTGTGTGTGTGTGTGTGTGTGTGTGTGTGTGTGTGTGTGTGTGTGTGTGTGTGTGTGTGTGTAAGAGTGAGTTTCCAATGCCCTCCTTTTGAGAGGGGATTTTAAGCCTTCCCCTTCACAATTGCTACTTTTAATTAAACCTTAGACAAACTCAGCCACTCCACTCAGAGACGCTGCCATGCATAGGTTCAGGCAAGACACATCCTGCAATGTACTGTAGGCTGGCTGTACTGTAGGCTGGCTGTACTGCAGGCTGGCTGTACTGTAGGCTGGCTGTACTGCAGGCTGGCTGTACTGTAGGCTGGCTGTGCTGGCTGGCTGGCTGTACTGGCTGGCTGGCTGTGCTGGCAGGCTGGCTGTACTGCAGGCTGGCTGTACTGTAGGCTGGCTGTACTGCAGGCTCGCTGTACTGCAGGCTGGCTGTACTGTAGGCTGGCTGTACTGGCTGGCTGGCTGTACTGGCTGGCTGGCTGGCTGGCTGTACTGGCTGGCTGGCTGTACTGGCTGGCTGGCTGTGCTGGCAGGCTGGCTGGCTGTACTGCAGGCTGGCTGTACTGCAGGCTGGCTGTACTGCAGGCTGGCTGTACTGCAACACGATCTCATAGTTTCCCTTTCGAAATTCAACATATTATTAATTTTGCGTGCTTACAGGGTTAATTCTGCGTGGTTACAGGGTTAATTCTGCGTGGTTACAGGGTTAATTCCACATGGTTACAGTGTTAAAACAGAAACAAGTCAAAGATGAACAGTTTAGGCATTCATTCTGAGTGGTTAAGGTTAGGGCTATAGTTTGGGGAAGGCTTGAAACAAAATAATAAAAAACTATGCGCTATTACCATCAAGTATCATCAAGTATTTTCATAGCTTGCTATAGCATTGTGAACTGCGGTAGGGCAGTGGTCTGAGCAGCATGCTTTGGCTCCGAGCATCATGAGTTTGCACCCAGTGGCAGGCAATTGTTTATCTTTTTTTTTGCCAAGGAAGGCATATATCGCCCTTCTCAGGACCTTTTCAAACGTCAGAAATCGAAGTCTATTTCTAGTGATCAGGCTGGTAGGCTAGCACGGACTCACTTCCTGCATAGTACTGTAGGCTAGCACGGACTCACTTCCTGCATAGTACTGTAGGCTAGCACAGACTCACTTCCTGTATAGTACTGTAGGCTAGCACAGACTCACTTCCTGTATAGTACTGTAGGCTAGCACAGACTCACTTCCTGTATAGTACTGTAGGCTAGCACAGACTCACTTCCTGTATAGTACTGTAGGCTAGCACAGACTCACTTCCTGTATAGTACTGTAGGCTAGCACATACTCACTTCCTGCATAGTACTGTAGGCTAGCACACAGACTATAGACTACCATGGTGGACAGACATGTCTCAGCTATATTTATGGTAACACACACACACACACACACACACACACACACACACACACACACCAGCTCAGTATAGGGAAATGTCTGGCCCTGCTCCACTGGAGGATCAACTTAGTTTCAGGTGGTTTTCCTGGAAACCCTCTGATGACCTTGCCTGATAATGTTCAATGACTCATTATTCAGTATGACTACATGCTGTGAAGAGGAATGTCTGAGTTGAATGGGTTTTGAGGAATGGGACTCAAGGTTGACAAACCAAGGTTCCTCCCTCCTCTACTCGCTCTCCCCTCTCTCCCCTACCACCCACAGTCACTCGCCGCTCACCTTTCAAATATCCTGTGAGGGGGACGACGCTTAAGAACTATTGTTGTGGGAGATTAGTACGTGTGTGTGTGTGTGTGTGTGTGTGTGAGTGCATGCGTGTACTGTGTGTGTTACAGACCATAAATATAGCTGAGACATGTCTGTCCATCATGGTAGTCTATAGATCTAACAGAGGAGTGTGTGTGCTAGCCTACATTGCGCGCACACACACACACACACACAAACAGACACACACACACTGGATTTTCCCATGACCCCATTCAACCCCATACTGAGACAGCTGACCCGTAGGAAGAAGTAACCATGGCAACCCTTTTGTCCCCTAGATGCAGGAGCTGGAGCTGAGGGTGACAGAGTCTGACCAAAGGGCTGAGAGCGCTGAGAAACAGGTACAGTACAGTAACAGTCTGCCAACCACATTTTACAATCACAGCTTCTTTAGGCTCGAGTAGCTGCAGCTCTCTCTCGCTCTCATAATTTCTGCACTTCCCTCTCTATAACAGTTGAGGCTCATCTTGCAAACTTGATTTAGTCTCCTCCTACTGATGGTCAAAGAAAGAGTCCATTTATTCCCATCTATCGTGTGAGTGTGTGATGTGAGCATAGTTGATGATGTATTACAGGTCCATGTCATGGAAGAGAAGCTGAAATCTGCAAACATACAACCCAGCGAATCAGAGAACTTGTTGTACAGAAGGTACCAGGATCTGACCAATCAGGTGCAGGAGAAAGATGCAGTGATAAAGAGATTAGAGGTGCAGCTGGAAAAACAGGTATGGAAGTTATAGTGTGAGACCCAAATGGTATCCTATCCCCTTTATAGTGCACTACTTTTGACCAGAGCCCTACGGGCCTTGGTCAAAAGTATGGCACTATAAAGGGAATAGGGTACCATTTGGGACACAACCATAGATAAGAAACATACATGTCCATTCGCGTTCATAATATGTACTGTAGGTTATGATGAGTCACTAACCATAAACCCTGTTTTCTTGGCCTCTAGATCTTAGTCAGAGCCCAGGAGGCTAAGATTATTGAGGAGAAGGCTGCTAAAATCAAAGACTGGGTTACGTTTAAGCTACGAGAGGTAAGCGTAGCTCAGATAAAGTATGTACTGTGACATATACATCCTATAGGGACCAGCCACGTCAAAGATGAATCTTTCTTTGCATTATCTTAACTCAAACCCAAACACAGCTTATGATCAGTTGTTTTAAGACAAAGAGAACAGTTAACCCCAAACTGTCACTAATTGTCATCTTCTTTCTGTGTTTCAGATGGAGATTGAGAACCAGCAGCTGAAGATGTCTAACCTGAAGCAGGCAGAACAGATTATGATGCTGCAGGACAAACTGCAAGGTGATCCTGATCCTCCTTCCACCACAGATGTACAAAAAGCCTGGGAACTTTAGTTAATCTACCCAGCACCTCACCCTCTGAGAGTACCACACTCCATTTTAACAAACCAACACGATGCTAGCCAGCTGTTGTGACAGCATTAACAACTATCATCACAGTTTTCAGTTGTTATCCACCTAAAGTCATGCAAATGGCCTGGTTGAAGTGGCGTAGGATCTGTACGAGTGGGAGTATCTAGATGATGAAGAGTAGGGTGCCCAGCACAGAGCCCTGCGGCACACCACAGTCTATGTTACTTTGATAGTATCAGAGCCTTATCACCTTAGTGCTAGATAGTAGTCAAGTGTGGGCCTATGTTCTACAGTACATGTTGTGATATTGTCAAAAGTTGCTGATGTGACTATCTTTTCCCCTCTTGTCCAATAGCTCTCCTGGAGAAGCATTCATCTCCCCTACCCCCCACCTCTCCATCCACAGACACCCACCAAGTACCCTCTAGCCCTCTGTACCACCCATGCTGTCCTGGGACCCCGCCTGCCCAGGAGGAGACAGGCTGGGGGATACAGACATGTCCAGGGGACAGAGCAGAGCAGCCCTGTAAACCCAGAGGGGACAGAGGAGACGCAACAGGCCACGGCACTGTGACAGTAACCCTGCCAGACACTCCCTCTCTGGGCAGCAGGGGCAGGGAGGCTGGGGCTGGACCTGGTAGTCCTGTTCCAACCACTGGAGGTCAGGACCAACCAGAAGGTGGCGCTACTCCCAGAGATCACTCCTCGGACGAGCTCAACAGCAGGTTCCGCTCCCAACGTCTCCACTCCTCCTCCTCTTCCTCTTCCTCCTCCTCATCTTCCTCCGCCTGTGAAACAACCCACGGGGGTCCCAGGACCCCTGATATCCCTACCTCCACCTCCACCCCCAAAAACCCTCTCCTCTGCCGCTCTCCATCTAACTCCCATCCCTTCCAGGCCCACACCCAGCCCCTGGCACTACCCTCCCATACTGGGACCAGCATGACCCTACCCAAGGTGTGTTCAGTTCTATGTATGTATGTATGTACAGTGGGGAGAACAAGTATTTGATACACTGCCGATTTTGCAGGTTTTCCTACTTACAAAGCATGTAGAGGTCTGTAATTTTTATCATAGGTACACTTCAACTGTGAGAGACGGAATCTAAAACAAAAATCCAGATAATCACATTGTATGATTTTTAAGTAATTAATTTGCATTTTATTGCATGACATAAGTATTTGATACATCACAAAAGCAGAACTTAATATTTGGTACAGAAACCTTTGTTTGCAATTACAGAGATCATACGTTTCCTGTAGGTCTTGACCAGGTTTGCACACACTGCAGCAGGGATTTTGGCCCACTCCTCCATACAGACCTTCTCCAGATCCTTCAGGTTTCGGGGCTGTCGCTGGGCAATACGGAGTTTCAGCTCCCTCCAAAGATTTTCTATTGGGTTCTGGTCTGGAGACTGGCTAGGCCACTCCAGGACCTTGAGATGCTTCTTACGGAGCCACTCCTTAGTTGCCCTGGCTGTGTGTTTTGGGTCATTGTCATGCTGGAAGACCCAGCCACGACCCATCTTCAATGCTCTTACTGAGGGAAGGAGGTTGTTGGCCAAGATCTCGCGATACATGGCCCCATCCATCCTCCCCTCAATACGGTGCAGTCGTCCTGTCTCCTTTGCAGAAAAGCATCCCCAAAGAATGATGTTTCCACCTCCATGCTTCACAGTTGGGATGGTGTTCTTGGGGTTGTACTCATCCTTCTTCTTCCTCCAAACACGGCGAGTGGAGTTTAGACCAAAAAGCTCTATTTTTGTCTCATCAGACCACATGACCTTCTCCCATTCCTCCTCTGGATCATCCAGATGGTCATTGGCAAACTTCAGACGGGCCTAGACATGCGCTGGCTTGAGCAGGGGGACCTTGCGTGCTCTGCAGGATTTTAATCCATGACGGCGTAGTGTGTTATTAAGGGTTTTCTTTGAGACTGTAGTCCCAGCTCTCTTCAGGTCATTGACCAGGTCCTGCCATGTATTTCTGGGCTGATCCCTCACCTTCCTCATGATCATTGATGCCCCACGAGGTGAGATCTTGCATGGAGCCCCAGACCGAGGGTTGATTGACCGTCATCTTGAACTTCTTCCATTTTCTAATAATTGCGCCAACAGTTGTTGCCTTCTCACTAAGCTGCTTGCCTATTGTCCTGTAGCCCATCCCAGCCGTGTGCAGGTCGACAATTTTATCCCTGATGTCCTTACACAGCTCTCTGGTCTTGGCCATTGTGGAGAGGTTGGAGTCTGTTTGAGTGTGTGGACAGGTGTATTTTATACAGGTAACGAGTTCAAAAGGGTGCAGTTAATACAGGTAATGAGTGGAGAACAGGAGGGCTTCTTAAAGAAAAACTAACAGGTCTGTGAGAGCCGGAATTCTTACTGGTTGGTAGGTGATCAAATACTTATGTCATGCAATAAAATGCAAATTAATTACTTAAAAATCATACAATGTGATTTTCTGGATTTTTGTTTTAGATTCCGTCTCTCACAGTTGAAGTGTACCTATGATAAAAATTACAGACCTCTACATGCTTTGTAAGTAGGAAAACCTGCAAAATCGGCAGTGTATCAAATACTTGTTCTCCCCACTGTATGTATGTGTGTATATACACTACCAATCAAAAGATTGGACACCTACTCATTCCAGGGTTTTTCTTTATTTTTACTATTTTCTACATTATAGAATAATAGTGAAGACATCAAAACAATGAAATAACACATATGGAATCATGTACTAACCAAAAAAGCTTTAAACAAATCAAAATATATTTTATATTTGAGATTCTTCAAAGTAGCCACCCTTTGCCTTGATGAGCGCTTTTCACACTCTTGTCATTCTCTCAACCAGCTTCACCTGGAATGTTTTTCCAACAGTCTTGAAGGAGTTCCCACATATGCTGAGCACTTGTTGGCTGCTTTTCCTTTACTCTGCAGTCCAACTCATCCCAAACCATCTCAATTTGGTTGAGGTCGGGGGATTGTGGAGGCCAGGTCATCACTCTCCTTTTTGGTAAAATAGCCCTTACACAGCCTGGAGGTGTGTTGGGTCATTGTCCTGTTGAAAACCAAATGATAGTCCCACTAAGCGCAAACCAGATGGGATGGCGTATCGCTGCAGAATGCTGTGGTAGCCATGTTGGTTAAGTGGTCCTCTGTAGCTCAGCTGGTAGAGCACGGTGGTTAAGTGTACCTTGAATTCTAAATAAATCACCGACAGTGTCACCAGCAATCACCCCCACACCATAACACCTCCTCCTCCATGCTTTACGGTGGGAACTACACATGCGGAGATCATCCGTTCACCTACTCTGCGTCTCACAAAGACACTTGGTTGGAACCAAAAATCTCACATTTGGACTCATCAGATCAAAGGACAGATTTCCACCGGTCTAATGTCCATTGCTCGTGTTTGTTGGCCCAAGCAAGTCTCATTCTTATTATTGGTGTCCTTTAGCAGTGGTTTCTTGGCAGCAATTCGACCATGAAGGCCTGATTCACACAGTCTCCTCTGAACAGTTGATGTTGAGATGTGTCTGTTACTTGAACTCTGTGAAGCATTTATTTGGGCTGCATTCTGAGGTGCAGTTAACTCTAATGAACTTATCCTCTGCAGCAGAAGTAACTCTGGGTCTTCCTTTCCTGTGGCAGTCCTCATGAGAGCCAGTTTCATCATAGCGCCTGATGGTTTTTGCGACTGCACTTGAAGAAACTTTCAAAGTTCTTGAAATGTTCCGTATTGACTGACCTTCATGTCTTAAAGTAATGATGGACTGTCGTTTCTCTTTACTTATTTGAGCTGTTCTTGCCATAATATGGACTTGGTCTTTTACCAAATAGGGCTATCTTCTGCATACCACCCCTACCTTGTCACAACGCAATTGATTGTCTCAAACGCATTAAGAAGGAAAGAAATTCCACAAATTAACTTTTAACAAGGCACACCTGTTAATTGAAATGCATTCCAGGTGACTACCTCATGAAGCTGGTTGAGAGAATGCCAAGAGTGTGCAAAGCTGTCATCAAGGCAAAGGGTGGTTACTTTGAAGAATCTCAAATATAAAATATATTTTAATTTGTTTAACACTTTTTTGGTTACTACATGATTCCGTCTGTGTTATTTCATCGTTTTGATGTCTTCACTATTATTCTATAATGTAGAAAATAGTAAAAATAAAGAAAAACCCTGGAATGAGAAGGTGTGTCAAAACTTTTCACTGGTACTGTATATATACACCACATGACCAAAAGTATGTGGTAACCTGCTCCTCAAACATCTCATTCCAAAATCATGGGCATTAATATGGAGTTGGTCCCCTCTTTGCTGCTATAACAGCCTCCGCTCTTCTGGGAAGGCTTTCCAGTAAATGTTAGAACATTGCTGCGGGGACCTGCTTCCATTCAGCCACGAGCGTTAGTGAGGTTGGGCACTGATGTTGGGCGATTAGGCCTGGCTCGCAGTCGGCGTTCCAATTCATCCCAAAGGTGTTAGATGGGGTTGAGGTCAGGGCTCTGTGCAGGCCAGTCAAGTTCTTCCACACCGATCTCAACAAACCATTTCTGTATGGACCTCGCTTTGTGCACAGGGGCATTGTCATGCTGAAACAGGAAAGTGCCTTCCACAAACTTTTGCCACAAAGTTGGAAGCACAGATTTGTCTAGAATGTCATTATATGCTGTAGCGTTAAGATTTCCCTTCACTGGAACTAAGAGGCCTAGCCCGAACCATGAAAAACAGCCCCAGACCATTATTCCTCCGCCACCAAACTTTACAGTTGGCAATATGCATTGGGGCATGTAGCGTTCTCCTGGCATCCGCCAAACCCAGATTCCTCTGTCGGACTGCCAGATGGTGAAGCGTGATTCATCCCTCCAGAGAACGCGTTTCCACTGCTCCAGAGTCCAATGGCGGCGAGCTTTACACCACTCCAGCCGACGCTTGGCATTGCGCATGGTGATCTTAGGCTTGTGTGCAGCTGCTCTGCCATGGAAACCCTTTTCATGAAGCTCCCGACTAATCAGTTCTTGTGGTGACGTTGCTTCCAGAGGCAGTTTGGAACTCGGTAGTGAGTGTTGCAAGCGAGGACAGACGGTTTTTACGCACTACGCACTTCAGCACTCGGCGGTCCCGTTCTGTGAGCTTGTGTGGCTTACCACTTTGTGGCTGAGCCTTTGTTGCTCCTAGACGTTTCCACTTCACAATAACAACACTTACAGTTGACCGGGGCAGCTCTAGCAGGGCAGAAATTTGACGAACTTACTTGTTGGAAAGGTGGCATCCTATGACGGTGCCACATTGAAATTCACTGAGCTCTTCAGTAAGGCCATCTACTGCCAACATTTGTCTATGGAGATTGCAATGGCTGTGTGCTCGATTTTATACACGTCAACAATGGGTGTGGCTGAAATAGCCGAATCCACAAATTTGAAGGGGTGTCCACATACTTTTGTATATACAGGTATAGTTATATATATATATATATATATATATATATCACTACCAGTCAAAAGTTTGGACACACCTACTCATTCAAGGGTTTTCCTTTATTTTTACTATTTTCTACATTGTAGATATTTATATATATATATATATATATATACAGTGGGGAGAACAAGTATTTGATACACTGCCGATTTTGCAGGTTTTCCTACTTACAAAGCATGTAGAGGTCTGTAATTTTTATCATAGGTACATTTCAACTGTGAGAGACGGAATCTAAAACAAAAATCCAGAAAATCACATGGTATGATTTTTAAGTAATTAATTTGCATTTTATTGCATGACATAAGTATTTGATCACCTACCAACCAGTAAGAATTCCAGCTCTCACAGACCTGTTAGTTTTTCTTTAAGAAGCCCTCCTGTTCTCCACTCATTACCTGTATTAACTGCACCTGTTTGAACTTGTTACATGTATAAAAGACACCTGTCCACACACTCAATCAAACAGACTCCAACCTCTCCACAATGCCCAAGACCAGAGAGCTGTGTAAGGACATCAGGGATAAAATTGTAGACCTGCACAAGGCTGGGATGGGCTACAGGACAATAGGCAAGCAGCTTGGTGAGAAGGCAACAACTGTTGGCGCAATTATTAGAAAATGGAAGAAGTTCAAGATGACGGTCAATCACCCTCGGTCTGGGGCTCCATGCAAGATCTCACCTCGTGGGGCATCAATGATCATGAGGAAGGTGAGGGATTAGCCCAGAACTACACGGCAGGACCTGGTCAATGACCTGAAGAGAGCTGGGACCACAGTCTCAAAGAAAACCATTAGTAACACACTATGCCGTCATGGATTAAAATCCTGCAGCGCACGCAAGGTCCCCCTGCTCAAGCCAGCGCATGTCCAGGCCCGTCTGAAGTTTGCCAATGACCATCTGGATGATCCAGAGGAGGAATGGGAGAAGGTCATGTGGTCTGATGAGACAAAAATAGAGCTTTTTGGTCTAAACTCCACTCGCCGTGTTTGGAGGAAGAAGAAGGATGAGTACAACCCCAAGAACACCATCCCAACCGTGAAGCATGGAGGTGGAAACATCATTCTTTGGGGATGCTTTTCTGCAAAGGGGACAGGACGACTGCACCGTATTGAGGGAGGATGGATGGGGCCATGTATCGCGAGATCTTGGCCAACAACCTCCTTCCCTCAGTAAGAGCATTGAATATGGGTCGTGGCTGGGTCTTCCAGCATGACAACGACCCGAAACACACAGCCAGGGCAACTAAGGAGTGGCTCCGTAAGAAGCATCTCAAGGTCCTGGAGTGGCCTAGCCAGTCTCCAGACCTGAACCCAATAGAAAATCTTTGGAGGGAGCTGAAAGTCTTTATTGCCCAGCGACAGCCCCGAAACCTGAAGGATCTGGAGAAGGTCTGTATGGAGGAGTGGGCCAAAATCCCTGCTGAAGTGAGTGCAAACCTGGTCAAGACCTACAGGAAACGTATGATCTCTGTAATTCCAAACAAAGGTTTCTGTACCAAATATTAAGTTCTGCTTTTCTGATGTATCAAATACTTATGTCATGCAATAAAATGCAAATTAATTACTTAAAAATCATACAATGTGATTTTCTGGAATTTGTTTTAGATTCAGTCTCTCACAGTTGAAGTGTACCTATGATAAAAATTACAGACCTCTACATGCTTTGTAAGTAGGAAAACCTGCAAAATCGGCAGTGTATCAAATACTTGTTCTCCCCACTGTGTATATATATATATATATATATATATATAAAAATATCTACAATGTAGAAAATAGTAAAAATAAAGGAAAACCCTTGAATGAGTAGGTGTGTCCAAACTTTTGACTGGTAGTGTTTATATATATATATATATATATATATATATACACGATTCTTGTTACTGTTTGACTGTGCCTATGTGTGATGGCCGCAATGGAGCGTGATGTTATCAGTCAGTAAACTTAGTTGAACTTGAACCACATCAATCAGTCAATCAATCAATCAATCAATCAAATATCAATCAATTATGTAATCTATCTTTGTTTGTGAACTAACAGGTGCGGACGCCTCTGACCCCCCGAGACAGCATCCAGCTGGTGAAGAAACACTACAGTCAGCCCCAGCCTGGAGGTCTGGACTGGCTGCACCACCTCAATGTCCCCAGAGACATCATGACTGCCTCCAGCACCCAGGTAAAGGGGGGAGCATGCTCAACGTTATCTTGTTGTGTAAAAACAGTGATTGGGTGCTTAAAGTCAACAGTCAGTCACGTAACAACGATAAAAGGGTACCCGGCTGCGCTCACTTGATGTAGTTGCAATTGAAGTAACAATTTATTTTATTTTCATCTTTGCACCCTGCAGGGCCCTGCGTCTCCCTCCACCTGCAGTCACTTCCTGCAGGGCCCTGCGTCTCCCTCCACCTGCAGTCACTTCCTGCAGGGCCCTGTGTCTCCCTCCACCTGCAGTCACTTCCTGCAGGGCCCTGTGTCTCCCTCCACCTGCAGTCACTTCCTGCAGGGCCCTGCGTCTCCCTCCACTTGCAGTCATGTCCTGGTGGAGACAGATATAGATGACGGGCTGCCTGACGGTATGGAGGGGGTGGTAGAGGAGGCCGGGGCAGATGGTCCTCCCCAGGAAGGTGTGTCGTTTGTTGGGTTGGCTGAGGATCTGGAACTGCTGGATCGGGAGGTCCTGAAACCCCCCACCCCGCCTCTGCACCGCTTCCCCTCCTGGGTGAGTGAGTGAGTGCTGGTGGTGGAGTGTTCTTTGCCATAGTCTCATATGTGTGTGTGTTCCTGTTGAGTTATTGTGAGCAGTCAAAGTAATGTTACAAAACACACACACATACACTCATGCTTACACAATTATATATGTGCTCTACAGGAGAGCCGTATCTATGCGGTGGCCAAGTCAGGGATGACAGTATCAGAGGTGACCGCAGGAGCCAGAGGTCCTGGTCCAGGTGAGTTACCTACCCTGCTGATGTTTCCTCACGAGAAATCAAGGAAATGCAATTGGGATTCTCCCTCTGTGTCTGTGGGGGATACATTATGGGGTCTGTCAATGCTCCTTTTGATGTCACATCCTCCTACCTGAGGAGGCTAAGTAACACCTGTGCAGGTGTGATCTAGGAAGCTTTAAGGAGCTCTTTAAATAGATGTGTAAGATCAGAACCCTGCTTTTTAATCAGCTGTGATGAAAGGATAGGACGCACACACAGTAAGACAGGCTATAATTAAGCAATAAGGCCAGGGGGGGGTGTGTGGTATATGTGTCTTATATACCATGGCTGTCAGCCAATCAGCATTCAGGGCTCGAACTACCCAGTCTATAATTATCATTCTCTCTACATCACATGATTTCTGCAGGATCCAGTTTACCACAGTACCCCGCTGCAGGACCATTTACTCACCTGATTTACAGGAACATCACTGTGCCAGTGTATACCACCCTGAAAGGGGTAAGTACCCTACTCTATAGCAGCTCGAACTGTGACAAACTGACAATAACATATCAACTCCCTATGGACTGTGGTATGTGCCAAGGAATATCTATCTCCTGTCTGTCTGCAGAAAGCCACTCAGATCAGCAGTGTGCCCCTGCATGATGATGACTCTGGTTCGGAGGATGACAGTGGCTCTCTGGCCAGCCTCAGGACCTCCACCCTGGCCCCAGACAGGAAGGGCAGCACCCCCGGGAGCCCCCGCGCCGTCAAGAGGGGTGAGAGGGTTTACTTTACTTTAATTCACTTTTTTGCACACTTTAAAAAGTACAACATAAAATATAACACAAGGTACGTGCAAATAAGACCATCAGCTGTGAATCACCTGAATGACCTGTTCCTGTTTTGACTTCTGACCTTTGATCCCTCCAGGTGTGTCCATGTCTTCCATCAGCTCTGAAAGTGACTATGCCATCCCTCCTGATGCCTACTCCCTGGACTCTGACTACTCTGAGCCAGAACACAAAGTCCAGAGAACATCCTCATACTCCTGTGAGAGCCTGCGAGAGCCTGTGAGTGACCATTTACAGTACGATATAGTGCAGTACGGTACCATGCACTAGCCACATTAGAATATAAGATACAAGGACCCCTTCTACTTCACTGTTGATTCACTAGGAGTATTCACACTACTGAGCCGAACAGAGCCAAGCCAAACCAGGTGTACTGAGCAGCTGTAAAGGACAATGTGAAAAGAAACTATCCAAGCCAGCAAAGTATGGTTCAGGTTGGCACGACACTGTGAAAATGGTAAGTGAGTCATGTGCTGTGTGTGTCCCCATATACAGGAGATGCTGGAGAAGTCAGGCTACCTGCTGAAGATGGGCAGTCAGGTTAAAGCCTGGAAGAGACGCTGGTTCATCCTGAGGAATGGAGAGATCTTCTACTACAAGTCTCCAGTGAGTCTCCACGCGTCATCACTATCTGCTTGATTACTATCTTCTTCTCTGACAGAATTATTCCAGAACTGCAGGTGGCAGTAAATCGGCAACCTTGGCTTTATACATGTTCAAACAACACACACTAGGTGGCAGTGTGCACACTTTCAGTTTGTTTGCCAACTCATAGAAGTAGTAGAAGAAGAAACTTGACTACTTCAAAATGGAGATGGCCTCTGACGCTACCCATGCTCTCACAGACATCATAATGGGACCGATACAATAATGCAATGTCTATATCTAAGTCTATGGCTGAATCCGTTTAGTTACAACTGGGGTTGGATCGAAAACTTACAGGATGGTAGCTCTCCAGGAACAGGGTTGGAGAGCCATGGTTTATTCTGTATTGCCAACTCCTATGGTCTTTGTCCTGGTCTTTCAGAGCGATGTGATACGGAAGCCTCAGGGTCAGATGGAGCTGAACTCTTCCTGTCGGATCGCCCGTGGAGAAGGAGCACAGACCTTCCAGGTGAGTGACAGTGAAGTGCAGTGGAGGCTGCTGAGGGGAGGACGGCTCATAATAATGGCTGGAATGGAGTCAATGGAATGGTATCAAACACATCAAACACTCCATCCGGCCATTATTATGAGCCGTTCTTGGCTCAGCAGCCTCCACTGGTGAAGAGGGGCTTAATCTACTGTTACTGCTAGTTCAGCCACTTTCACCCCCAGAAGTAAATTGACTTAGCTAGTTCGCTAGAGCACGCAACATTTGGTTGTAGGTTCAGGGATTATCGGTATGCACACGCGCACACACACGCGCACGCACACACATCCTGCCCTCCCACCCCTAGCACCAAACTGGGTAAAAAAGAACGTTGCAGCCTATAATCTTCTCCTGTTCTAGTCTTATCCGTTTTAGTATTAGTCCTGTTCTCTTCTCAGGACTCTAATCTTCTCAGACCTCTAATATTCTCCTGCTCTAATCTTCTCCTGCTCTAATCTTCTCCTGTTTTAATTTTCTCCTGCTCTAATCTTCTGTTTTAATCTTCTCCTGTTTTAATCTTCTCCTGCTCTAATCTTCTCCTGCTCTAATCTTCTCCTGCTCTAATCTTCTCCTGCTCTAATCAGTTGATAACAGAGAAGAAGACATTCTTCCTGACGGCTGACTCTCCCAACATCTTGGAGGAGTGGATCAGAGTTCTACAGAACATCCTCAAGGTCCAGGCCAGCAGCCCCGTCGCCATGGAGACCACCGCCGTCAAACCCACCGTGAGGGGCTGGCTCACTAAGGTCAGGGGTCACTGGCTCACTAAGGTCAGGGGTCACTGGGCTGGGGGCCTAAGAGATGAGGGTTATGGAGATGAGAAACAGACAACATGTTTAGGGGGATTGGCCTGAGCAAGACGAGGTATAGAAGTGCTTATCTTGATCACATAATGAGTGGTTCATTGGGATGTAAGCAAGGTGATTTGTAGATCAGTGATTCTGGACATGATCTCGCTCAGGCCGATCCTCTCAAAACACACAGTTTTAATGGAAGCTTTTAACTTGCCTTTTTAATGGAAGGACAACTCTTATTACAAAGGAAATACAAAAATACAGCTATTCTCACCCAATAAAGAGATCTATTATATCAAAAATACAGCTATTGTCTCCCAATATAGAGATCTATTATATCAAAAATACAGCTATTCTCACCCAATATAGAGATCTATTATATCAAAAATACAGCTATTCTCTCCCAATATAGAGATCTATTATATCAAAAATACAGCTATTCTCACCCAATATAGAGATCTATTATATCAAAAATACAGCTATTCTCACCCAATATAGAGATATATTATATCAAAAATATGTTTCTTATTAGGACACCGTAAAGTTTAAACTAGCCATTCTTCCCACTGTAACAAAAAGAGACTGTCACAGATTGACGGAAGGCTTTCACTTCAGGCAGATTCCTGGACAGCTAATTCACGTTGTGACACGGCTAGAGTTAGGACCCCTTACTGATCAGGGGATGATGATGTTTGAGTGATACCCCCCCTCCTCTACAGAGGTGTATCTGTCAGTATGGTTGAGACTGGGGCTAGGAGACCCTCTAAGATCACAGGGGTGTGTGTGACGGCTGACTGACAGATGAACCCTCTCTTCCTGTAAAGAGGCTTTGATCTCTACACTATGACGTTATGCACCTCAGAGCTCTGTAGTGATGTACTGTTGGTTCACTACCTCTCTCTCTGCATATTTGACCTTGGACCCTGATGAAGAGATGTACAGCTAGGATTATGAGTCATGAGATGTAGCCAGTAGTCCACACACCCGCTCTCTACTGCCGCCTATTGTTCAAATGAGAAATATGCTATACAGTCAGTGGGTTTGAGTCTATAAACCTCACATTGACTATTCTCTCTCTCTCTCTCTCTCTCTCTCTCTCTCTCTCTCTCTCTCTCTCTCTCTCTCTCTCTCTCTCTCTCTCTCTCTCTCTCGCTCTCTCTCACTCTTTCTTTCTCTCTCTCTCTCTCTCTCTCTCTCTCTCTCTGTCTGTCTGTCTGTATGTCTCCCTCCCTCTCTCAGGTGAAGCATGGCCACTCTAAGCTGGTGTGGTGCTCTCTGGTCGGCAAGGTGTTCTATTATTACAGAAACCAGGATGACAAGGTTCAAATTCCTTATTTTCTCCTCCTAAATTTACACTCATTATGTCACCCTCATTACTGTTGACAGTCTGTATCTGTAGTATAACTGAATATCATTGTGTGTGTGTGTGTCACGTCTCAGCTCCCCCTAGGCCAGCTGCGGATGCGTGAGGCGGTGGTGAAGGAGGTGGACAGGTCATGTGACTCGGACGAGGACTACGAAGCCGGTGGGCGTGGCTTCTTGTCATCTCACTGTACCCTAGTGGTCCACCCCAGAGAGCAGAGCCCCACCTACCTGCTCATAGGCACCAAGCAAGAGAAGGTACGTCACCCCTAAACTACACCACCCATAAACCCCCTCACCTACCTGCTCATCAGCACCAAGCAAGATAATGTACAGCACTCTAAAAATACACTACCCAAACACCCCACAACCAATTCTAAAACCAGTATTTTTAATGTATAAAGAATGAAAGGTTACATCTCAGCTCTGTTCAATGACACATTTCACTACAATGGGGTATGAGTAAACCTTACTTCAGACCTTTTCCTATGAAGATTGATAATTGGCAATATTATGTAAATGAGTACAATACAACTCACAAAATGTGCACATATTTAATGTGCAGTATGATTCGTAAACAGGAAAATAAATGCTCAAATATTGGCACTTATCCATCTCCATATTTCCCTTAATTGTAAGTTACAACCCACTTACCTGTTTCCATTTTCCCCTCCCTCCATCCTTCCTGTCCAGGACACCTGGCTGTACCACCTGACAGTCGCGGCAGGCAGCAGTGCCAGCTTCAAGGTGGGCACAGAGTACGAGCAGCTGGTCGGGAACCTCCTAGACGTAGAGGGAGATCCAGGTAAGACATCTATATTCATCTAATCAATCAATCAACTCAGTCTGTCTGTCTGTCAACACAAAGACAAGTACGGTACATGAGAAGGTTAATGTCTCACAGGGCGACAAGGACTGCCTTGAAGATAGACCAGTGGTTGCCAGACTGGTCTAACACGTGCTATACTGTATCACACAAGGTTCCAGATTCAGTCAGTAGCTCTTTCATGTTATTTTCAACCAGGACAGACTACTGAAATCTCTTGATGCAGTCTGCAATCTGTAGATGGTGTTTATGACTGGGCTCTAGTAAGGCTGTTCCTGGTAAATCTGTGTGGGTGTGTGTTCTCTCAGACTCTGCGTTGTGGAGGAGTGAGGCTCTATGTTTCTGTAAAGAGGGCCTGCGCTCCCCTCTCACCACTCTACCATCTGAAGCTCTGCAGACTGAAGCCCTCAAACTCTTCAAGGTCGGTCCCTTTATTACTTACTCTTCCTTCTCTTTTTCTCTTCTCCTGTCTGCTGATCTGAGGCCCCCAGCCTCACTGTCTGTCTGTTAGGGGCATCCCCTTTCTGTCCATCATCCCCTCCTCTCCTCTTGGATGCGCTCCATGCGCCTCTACCCTACCGCCACACAGATCAAAGCCTCGGTGTAGGGGCCCTCTTGGATGCACTCCATGCCCCTCTACCCTACCGCCACTCACAGATCAAAGCCTCTGTGTAGGGGTCCCCGGCTCATTAGAAGTGTGGAAGAGAGATAATGATTATCTCCTGTGATTGAAGCTAAGCGTTCCTCTAGTCCTTGTCCTTGTTGGGAGGTCAGAGACATTTTCTGAAGATGTAATAGTGGGAGGAGGTAGTGGGACAGACAAACAGTACAGTGGGAGTGGGACAGGGACAGGGAGTGAGAGTGAGACAGGGAGTGAGAGTGAGAATAGGAGTGGGACAGGGAGTGGGACAAGGACAGGGAAAGGGATGGGAAGTAATGAAGTGGATCTGGAGGAGGATGGACCTTGACCTTGATATATCCTGTTCCTCTCTTTTCAACTCGGCCTCCCAGTCCGCCTCACCCCTCCCCTTCTCTCTATGCTTCAGTGAGCTCTTCCTCTTCCCCATATTTTGGGTTGCTTTTGTCTGATTGGTGCTACATACAGTATATACATGAATAGAGTTCACTCACAACCCTTTAAAGTCTCTGTTCCTGTTCAAAGACTTTGAACATGCACCCTTCCCGTCCGTCCTACCCTTCTTATAGTCCCTGATCTGACATGGCTGTGTTAGTGAAAGATGTCATGAAACTGTTTACACAGTATTCATACAGAGCCTTGATCCTAGTAACATTTTCCTATTCTCCTTGAACAATGACAGACTAGTTTGACAGCTTCATCCTGACTTGGATGAACCTGTCAAACTTGGAATGTGTTTCCAAGTAGGAAACACATTCATGATGCTGCATGCAGGGCCGGGCCGCCCATTAGGCAGGATTAGGCGGCTGCCTGTGGCCGCAGATTGAGGAGGGCAGCATTTTCTGAGCTAAACTGACCAAGACGCACCTCCAACAACATAAAACAACTCACATAATTCTGCCCAAAAACAATGACAATTTCTCTCAACCAGTGGCATATGGGCTTTTTAGGTGAGCGCCAATGGCGCCCTTTGGTAAGCAGTGTCTACTTTGTCAAAGGCAGGGACCCAAAATATGTATCTTGTCCATTCCCAGCCCGCCTCTCCAGGGTGGTGTTGGAGAGACGCATCACTGCGGCCCTCCACCAACGTTCTGTCAAAAAATCATCTAACATAAATCATATAGGTATAGGATATGGTAGAAAGAGTATGTGGCCTTTTCTGTAGCCTACAGGCTGGAGATAAAATGTATGACAATGTAATGAGACAGACACTTTTTACATTATGCAGGTTTCTCCGACCAAATATAGTAACCTAAATGGCGACCAATCAAAGAAAAAAAATTGCTGACATGTTAACAAACACCATATCCTAAAAATAGGACAGGTCAAAGTAAAATGGACCGTATGGAATGGACAATCAGGCTACTCACAACTGCTGTCCAGGAGTTTCACCCCAAAGGCAGGATGTCATGATCAGTGGTGTTTGTATCCGTCCATTTTTGACAAGCTGATCATAGCGAAAAAGAAAATACCTTTATTTCCCGTTGTGTAAACACATTGATTCTCATTGCAAATAGGCTCAGGATAACTCCTGATAATGTTGGCTAGCTGATATTCAGAAGTTAAAAAGCCAAATTGATTAGTCACTGTAGGCTACACCCCAGTAAGTACAGACCGACGCCGACGTCATTTGGACATCTTTTTTGGTCCTGTCCGGACCGGCCATCTTTTTTTGTTGCAGTCCGGACCGGCCTTGATTTCCACGTCCACAGATGTAGATTTTTGGTCCAGTCTGGACCAAATCTGAACCAAACATAGACGTCTATTTTTGGTTAAGATTTGGTTCGGTCTGGACCGGCCTTGATTTGGTTCAAACATAGACGTCTATAAATTATGTATTTTTCGACTTTCATTCAGAACCGAAGATGATCCTCATTTCAACTTCCGGAAAATAGGTATTTTTCAATGTCTGTAAAATATGTATTTTCAACGTCATTTTGCTTACTGGGACTATTCTAGTTTTGCGGGGTTATATGAGGAGGGCGGAGATGATATATGTTTTTTTGTCTCGCCTAGGGCGACAGAACGGCCAGATCCGGGTTTTCATTACTGTAGCTCTGCTTGAGGGGTGGTCTACAATACGAACATCATTTACTTTATGTTCATATTCTTATCTTTTATTATGTCTTATGGTTGTTGTGATTATGTGATCAAGACTAGTGATTATGTGATCAAGACTAGTGATTATGTGATCAAGACTAGTGATTATGTGATCAAGACTAGTGATTATGTGATCAAGACTAGTGATATGCCCCTTGCTTAAACTGATCCCCACGAACACGCTGCTTCTATTGTTTCTCAACATGTATCACGATCAGGTAAAACCTTCTTCATCCCTCTTTCATCCTTCCTTCCTTCAGTCCTGTCAGCTGTTCATCAACGTGCTGGTGGAGTCTCCCTCCATCGACTACCACATGTCCCTGGCCCAGAATGCATTGCAGGTGTGTCTGACGCACCCAGAGCTCCAGAACGAGATGTACTGTCAGTTGATTAAACAGACCAACCGCCGCACACCACACAACTCCTCCCTCACTCAGGTACATTACACACCACAACTCCTCCCTCACTCAGGTACATTACACACCACCACTCCTCCCTCACTGAAGTACGTTACACACACCACACGACTCCCTCACTCATGTCGGTATAAGCCTGTCCCTGAAGCTCAAATGACCCCCTAGCCCCTAGCCCCTAGTCACTTGTGGAAATCTGAGAGGATTCGATGGGTATGAGTAATATGGCTACAATAACACCTGGCCTTTCAGAAGGCAAGAGGGAGGATCAACATTATTGGTTTCATCTATCCAATATTCCTCCCACTTATCACTTTGTATCTAGTTATTTTGTGTTACCTGTCATAGTTTCTGTTTTTTTTCTCAGGTATTGTTTACGTTGTAGTGATCTGTCGGTCTGTCTGTCTGTCTATCTGTCTGTCCTCTCCTCAGTGCTGGCAGCTGTTGGCTGTGTGTGTGGCTCTGTTTCTGCCTCAGCAACACTTCCTGTGGTACCTCAGACAGTATCTGCAGCGTCATGCAGACCCCAGGTACACACACACATACATACTCTCACACGCTCTCTCTGCATCTCTCTCGCTCTCTCGCTCTCTCTCTCTCTCTCTCTCTCTCACACGCTGTCTCTCTCTCTCTCACACGCTGTCTCTCTCTCACACGCTGTCTTTCTCTCTCACACGCTGTCTCTCTCTCTCTCTCTCACACGCTGTCTCTCTCTCTCACACGCTCTCTCTCTCTCTCTCTCTCTCTCTCTCTCTCTCTCTCTCTCTCTCTCTCTCTCTCTCTCACACACACACGCTGTCTCTCTCTCTCTATCTCTCTGTGTAGGAGTGAGGTGGGGAAGTATGCTGTGTACTGTCAGAGGTCTGTGGAGCGTACCCTACAGAACGGAGAGAGAGAGGCAAAACCATCACGTATGGAGATCCTGTCTATCCTACTGAGGAACCCTTACCACCACTCACTACCCTTCAGCATCCCTGTCCACTTCAAGAACATCACCTACCAGGTAACACACATGTACGCACACACACATACACACACACACACACACACACACACACACTCACCTACCAGGTAACACACACACTCTCACCTACCAGGTAACACACACACATTTTAGTAATAACTTTTCAGTGAGCCCTGTCTCCTAGGTGGTGGGATTCAATAGTTCCTCCACCCACACAACGACAGAGTCACACACAGTCACACACACACAACGACAGAGTCACACACAGTCACACACACACAACGACAGAGTCACACACAGTCACACACACACAACGACAGAGTCACACACAGTCACACACACACAACGACAGAGTCACACACAGTCACACACACTTGTCTATCATGCCATGTCTCAGTGATCCCCCTCCTGTCCTATCCGTCCTGTTCTTTAGGTGGTAGGTTTCGATGGCTCCACCACAGTAGAAGAGTTCCTGAGCACCCTAAACCAGAGGGTGGGCATGAGGAAACCACACCTGTCAGGTTTTGCTCTCTTCACTGACGACCCCTCGGGGAATGACCTGGAGCACTGCCTGCAGCCCAGCGTCAAAGTACGTGTGGACCAACACACTCATGACTGTAGCTGCCCATGCATTGCAGCACACACAACCTCACTTTTTGGTACCTGTGACTAAGTATGGCAGTAAACAGAGGGTAGAGTGGAATCAGAAAAGGGATTAGGGAAAAATGTACAAGGGACCAGTGTCTGCCTGTTTGCTGATTGACCTCTCACCCCTGCCAACAGATCTGTGATGTCATTTCCAAGTGGGAACAAGCCCTGAAAGAACTGCATCCTGGAAAATACGAGGGTACACGCATCGTCCGTCTGACGTACAAGAGCAGGTAGGCTTGACCTTGTTTTAGTTGGCTCCATCCATAGAGCTGAAATTGAGCTGCAGACCACATCATACACACACATCATGCATTGACCAGTGTGATGTCTGTTGTGTAGGTTGTCTTTCCGGGCCCAGGCTAAAGGAGAGACGGAGCGTGAGCGCCTCCTGCTGGCCTACCAGGTGAATGACGAGGTCCACCAGGGGCACTTCCCTGTCAACAAGGAGCTGGCTCTGGAGGTGGCTGCTCTCATGGCACAGGTGGGTAGTGTTTTGGTAAGGAGAGGGGCATTATGGGTACTGTAGTACATCATGCTACAGGTAGCATGGAGGGGACTGATGGGGGCAGTATATGTCTGTGGGTTATGCTGTGTGAGCAGCAGATGATATACCTGTACGTTAAGGTTTGTTTGTGACTACAATGATCTTTGACCTTATTGTGTCTATTATTTAGTTTTTGCACACGTGTGTTTTTAAAAATGACTACAAATAAAACAATTATAATTAAACAAATACTTAAAATGACCTACCCTTCCTCCCTCCTCAGGTGGAGCATGGTGATCTGGACCGTCCAGCCCCTTCCTCCTCCACTAGCTGCAGCTCTCCTCAGCCCAAAACCCAACAAATCCTCCTACAGGCCCTGGAACGCTTCTACCCCAAGCGCTACAAACAAGACTGCAGCATTGACCAGCTCAGGTAATGCTGGGGACACACACACACGCACATGCTTGACAAAAAGGGAGCTGAATTTGCTCTACTGTTATATATTCAATAATGAGTTATAAACTACTTACAAATTAATAATTGATCCTCTATCTCCCCTCAGAGATCTATCGGAGCGTCTGGCCACTAAGTGGTCAGTCCTGCGCGGCTGCAGTGCCTCAGAGTGTGTCAGAATCTACCTGACCGTCACTAGGAAGTGGCCGTTGTTTGGTGCCAAGCTATTCCATGCTAAGGTTAGTGGGGATGGAACAAGACTGAAAAACCTTTACAGCTTTCCTGAATCTGTATTCTACTAGAATAATCCAGTATAGAGTGTATGTCTACTGTATGTTTCCAGCTTTTGCTGAATCTGAGTTCGGTGTCTCCAGTGACTTGGAACATCTCTCTATAATCAAATAGATGTTGCGTTCCTCTTCCCTCTTTTTGAAAGGACTAGTATTTCAGTATTTACTCAGAGAAGAACCCCATTCCCATAGAAACCTTTAGTAATGCAGATATACACTACCGGTCAAAAGTTTTAGTACACCTACTCATTCAAGGGTTTTTCTTTATTTTTACTATTTTCTACATTGTAGAATAATAGTGAAGACATCAAAACTATGAAATAACACATATGGAATCATGTAATATCCAAAAAAGTGTTAAACAAATCAATATATATATATATATATATATATATATATATATATCAAATAGCCACCCTTTGCCTTGATGACAGCTTTGCACACTCTTGGCATTCTCTCAACCAGCTTCATGAGGAAGTCACCTGGAATGCATTTCAATTAACAGGTGTGCCTTCTTAAAAGTTAATTTGTGGAATTTCTTTCCTTCTTAATGCGTTTGAGCCAATCAGTTGTGTTGTGACAAGGTAGGTGGGGTATACAGAAGATAGCCCTATTTGGTAAAAGACCAATTCCATATTATGGCAAGAACAGCTCAAATAAGTAAAGAGAAATGATAGTCCATCATTACTTTAAGACATGAAGGTCAGTCAATATGGAACATTTCAAGAACTTTGAAAGTTTCTTCAAGTGCAGTCGCAAAAACCATCAAGCGCTATGATGAAACTGGCTCTCATGAGAACCACCACAGGAATGGAAGACCCAGAGTTACCTCTGCTGCACTGTCTGTGATTTATTTAGAATTTAGAACACTTAACCAGCATGGCTACCACAGCATTCTGCAGCGATACGTCATCCCATCTGGTTTGGGCTTAGTGGGACTATCATTTGTTTTTCAACAGGACAATGACCCAACACACCTCCAGGCTGTGTAAGGGCTATTTTACCAAGAAGGAGAGTGATGGAATGCTGCATCAGATGACCTGGCCTCCACAATCCCCCGACCTCAACCAAATTGATATGGTTTGGGATGAGTCGGACCGCGGAGTGAAGGAAGCAGGTTGAGAGAATGCCAATAGTGTGCAAAGCTGTCATCAAGGCAATGTGTGGCTATTTGAAGAATCTCAAATCTCAAATATATTTTGATTTGTTTAACACTTTTTTGGTTACTACATGATTCCATATGTGTTATTTCATAGTTTTGATGTCTTAACTATCATTCTACAATGTAGAAAATAGTAAAAATAAAGAAAAACCCTTGAATGAGTAGGTGTTGTAAAACTTTTGACTGGTAGTGTACCTGTATCTAGTATTATCTGTCCCTACAAAAGTCCATACCTCTCCCCTGTCTCTGTCTGCAGCCTTTACCCCCCTCGTCTGTAGAGCAGTCCCAGGTCTGGCTAGCTGTCAACGAGGATGGACTGTGTGTGCTTGACTATACCATGGTAAGTGTCTGTTTAGGTAGCTGTTTAAATGTCTGCTTCCTTAGTGCATTTACCATAGTTCAACTGATGATTCAAAGGTTCCATAGCATGTAGGCCTAAAATCCTACTAATATGTATTATTACTGGTACTAAATGTGTCCAGAAGAGGGCGTATTTCAGTGATTCAGTACGGCCAGTGATCAAGGGACCGCCATCAGATGTGAGCTCTAGGAATCTGAATAGAATATAAGGCAGCAACCTCTCAGAATCCAACCAGATGTATATTGTTTTGTTATTCTCTGTTCTTATTTTTCAGGTTTAAAAAAGTATTAGATTCAGAGCACTCAAACTTAAGGTTTGGGATTTATTTTTACAAGTCTTTACCAGTCTGGCTGTGGCCAGGCCACAGACGCAGAGAATTGTTGAACTACTGGTCTGGAATGATTTTCTGCTACAACGTTAGAAACACCAGATCCCCACAGGGAAACAGAAACTGGCCAACGCCAACCTCTGATTTCATACCCATACCCGGGTTCAAATACTATTTTAAATCATTTAAAATACATAAACTGGACTTGATTCACCTTGCCTGGGTTAAAGGAACCAATAGAAAATATAAAAAAGTGCAAATCCCGCCCATCTGGCACTCCTGGTAGGCTAGAACAAACACTTCATGTATTTGAAAGATTTTAAATAGTATTTGAACCCAGGTTTGGGTCTACCCTGAGAGGTCCAAACGCTGACTGAGATATAAACAAAGTTAGACCTAAAGCACTATAATTATCTTACCCTTATTCCTCCATGTCATTTCTGGTTTGGCATCCTTTCATGCTCCCAATACATTCACTAGTCCTTAGGGGGGGGATAAGCAACATTCAAAATAAAGCATCAGAAATAATGTTATGCTGCTACATTGCTTCATGCTGAATTTGCCTCTTGAGAAAACAATAACAAGAAACCAATTTCCAAAGCAAGGATCTTGTGGCCTGTAACAGGAAGAGAGATGACGTGTAGAATGTATTATACAAGAGACAAAATTCACAAATTTTACAGCACAAACGGCAGAGTCATGTCTCAAGTGTAAAACTAATAATGGCTCAATAATCCATGCTTTCTGGGAATGCTATAATGTCTGGAAGTTGTGGGCGGAGCTAGAAAGTTGGCTGTCAGAATATTACAGTGTAAATTTACTTTTAATCCGTCTGTCTGCATATTTCAAGACATGGCATACAGGGGTGTAGTGAGATACCCAATGGGCTGGACGATTCTCTTCTCATCACTCATCTTTGGGAAAAACGTATACTAAAACATTGGAACAATCATCGCCATATTCACATAAAAATCTAATCATGGGCGACCAGAAAAACGAATGTTTCAATTAAGCCAGTGCAAACAATAAGCAACATAATGGAATGATGTGTATTATTGAATGAGCATGGCGCGCAGAGAAAACGGGAATGTTAGAACAATAAGACACTATGGAGGAGGCTAGACATCAGACACTAGGGATGGAGTGTGAACATACAGAACTAGGGATGGAGGTGAGAACATACAGGCACTAGGGATGGAGGTGAGAACATACAGACACTAGGGATGGAGGTGTGAACATACAGACACTAGGGATGGAGGTGAGAACATACAGGCACTAGGGATGGAGGTGAGAACATACAGACACTAGGGATGGAGGTGAGAACATACAGACACTAGGGATGGAGGTGTGAGCATACAGACACTAGGGATGGAGGTGTGAACATGCAGACACTAGGGATGGAGGTGAGAACATACAGACAGTAGGGATGGAGGTGAGAACATACAGACACTAGGGATGGAGGTGAGAACATACAGACACTAGGGATGGAGGTGAGAACATACAGACACTAAGGATGGAGGTGAGAACATACAGACACTAGGGATGGAGGTGAGAACATACAGACACTAGGGATGGAGGTGAGAACATACAGACACTAGGGATGGAGGTGAGAACATACAGACACTAGGGATGGAGGTGTGAGCATACAGACACTAGGGATGGAGGTGTGAACATGCAGACACTAGGGATGGAGGTGAGAACATACAGACACTAGGGATGGAGGTGAGAACATACAGACACTAGGGATGGAGGTGAGAACATACAGACACTAGGGATGGAGGTGAGAACATACAGACACTAGGGATGGAGGTGAGAACATGCAGACACTAGGGATGGAGGTGTGAACATGCAGACACTAGGGATGGAGGTGAGAACATGCAGACACTAGGGATGGAGGTGTGAACATGCAGACACTAGGGATGGGGGTGTGAGCATGTGGGTCTGGGCAGAGGAGATATAGTCGTTGTTTGTGTCTGTCTGTAAGCTGTTGTTTGTATGTACAAGTTTGTTTTTATGAGTAATAAAACAAATATTTTTAAAAAGGAAGAGAGATAACAAAGGCTTTTCACACTACTGAACAGAACCAAACCAAAAGTGAAAAGAAAAGATCAGAGCCAGCACAGTTTGGTTCAGGTTGGCACGGTAATGTGAAAAGTGTAATACACATTTTCCTATTCACATACGTCTTTTAAACAACTGAAATAAATCATCCTTTCCTTTACAGCACCTTCTGGTCACGTATTCCTACCAATCAGTGATCACCTTTGGCGGTTGCCGTGACGACCTGATGGTGGTGGTGAGCCAGACCAAAGAGCAGGGTGGAGGGAAGAAGCGTGTGGAGAAACTGGTCTTCTCTATGGCTAAACCCAAGGTAAAGTCTCTATAGTCTTCTCTATGGCTAAACCCAAGGTAAAGTCTCTATAGTCTTCTCTATGGCTAAACCCAAGGTAAAGTCTCTATAGTCTTCTCTATGGCTAAATCCAAGGTAAAGTCTCTATAGTCTTCTCTATGGCTAAACCCAAGGTAAAGTCTCTATAGTCTTCTCTATGGCTAAACCCAAGGTAAAGTCTCTATAGTCTTCTCTATGGCTAAACCCAAGGTAAAGTCTCTATAGTCTTCTCTATGGCTAAACCCAAGGTAAAGTCTCTATAGTCTTCTCTATGGCTAAACCCAAGGTAAAGTCTCTATAGTCTTCTCTATGGCTAAACCCAACCCAAGGTAAAGTCTCTATAGTCTTCTCTATGGCTAAACCCAAGGTAAAGTCTCTATAGTCTTCTCTATGGCTAAACCCAAGGTAAAGTCTCTATAGTCTTCTCTATGGCTAAACCCAAGGTAAAGTCTCTATAGTCTTCTATATGGCTAAACCCAAGGTAAAGTCTCTATAGTCTTCTCTATGGCTAAACCCAAGGTAAAGTCTCTATAGTCTTCTCTATGGCTAAACCCAAGGTAAAGTCTCTATAGTCTTCTCTATGGCTAAACCCAAGGTAAAGTCTCTATAGTCTTCTATATGGCTAAACCCAAGGTAAAGTCTATATAGTCTTCTCTATGGCTAAACCCAAGGTAAGGCCATTGAAATGTAATCTATTCTATTTTCTAGTCTATTTCTATGGCAGGTTTAAAGTAGGTGGTCTTTACCACTGGCCAAGTGCAAATGGTCAATGAAAACGATTAGTGGATTATAATCATCACGGACCACAACAGCTCTGTCAACTTTCAGTCAGCGCTCAGATTAAGTTAAGGTCATACAGTTACTTTGGCTAGATTTTCCAGAGACTGTAAAGTAAAAAGTGGGTGGTGGTGTTGATATAGGATCTTACTGTACAGATCAGGGAGCCAGTGTGGCGAGTAAATGGTGAGCTCCTGCTATGTGGCTCTGTCCACCTGTCAGTTCAGTGTAGCTCCGAGAGCAGTCCGCTGCAGCAACCAGGGTCATGGGTTCTATTCCCACAGGGATCACACACTCACAGTGTGTTTGCTCTCACTGTACTTTTAGTCACTTTGGATAAAAGTGACATCTATTGTACATCTATTAATACAGTGAGGGAAAAAAGTATTTGATCCCCTGCTGATTTTGTACGTTTTCCCACTGACAAAGAAATTATCAGTCTATAATTGTAATGGTAGGTTCATTTGAACAGTGAGAGACAGAATAACAACAAAAAAATCCAGAGAAACGCATGTCAAAAATGTTATAAATTGATTTGCATTTTAATGAGGGAAATAAGTATTTGACCCCTCTGCAAAACATGGCTTAGTACTTGGTGGCAAAACCCTTGTTGGCAATCACAGAGGTCAGACGTTTCTTGTAGTTGGCCACCAGGTTTGCACACATCTCAGGAGGGATTTTGTCCCACTCCTCTTTGCAGATCTTCTCCAAGTCATTAAGGTTTCGAGGCTGACGTTTGGCAACTCGAACCTTCAGCTCCGTCCACAGATTTTCTATGGGATTAAGGTCTGGAGACTGGCTAGGCCACTCCAGGACCTTAATGTGCTTCTTCTTGAGCCACTCCTTTGTTGCCTTGAACGTGTGTTTTGGGTCATTGTCATGCTGGAATACCCATCCACGACCCATTTTCAATGCCCTGGCTGAGGGAAGGAGGTTCTCACCCAAGATTTGACGGTAAATGGCCCCGTCCATCGTCCCTTTGATGCAGTGAAGTTGTCCTGCCCCCTTAGCAGAAAAACACCCCCAAAGCATAATGTTTCCACCTCCATGTTTGACGGTGGGGATGGTGTTCTTGGGGTCATAGGCAGCATTCCTCCTCCTCCAAACACGTCTGACCTCTGTGATTGCCAACAAGGGTTTTGCCACCAAGTACTAAGCCATGTTTTGCAGAGGGGTCAAATACTTATTTCCCTCATTAAAATGCAAATCAATTTATAACGTTTTTGACATGCGTTTTTCTGGATTTTGTTGTTGTTATTCTGTCTCTCACTGTTCAAATAAACCTACCATTAAAAATTATAGACTGATCATTTCTTTGTCAGTGGGCAAACGTACAAAATCAGCAGGGGATCAAATACTTTTTTCCCTCACTGTATATATATATCTATTATACATATATTATTTATATAACTCAGCAAAAAAAGAAACGTCCCTTTTTCAGGACCCTGTCTTTCAAAGATAATTCGTAAAAGTCCAAATAACTTCACAGATCTTAAATTTAAACACTGTTTCCCATGCTTGTTCAATTAACCATAAGCAATGAATGAACATGCACCTGTGGAACGGTCATTAAGACACTAACAGCTTACAGACGGTAGGCAATTAAGGTCACAGTTATGAAAACTTAGGACACTAAAGAGGCCTTTCTACTGACTCTGAAAAACACAAAAAGAAAGATGCCCAGGGTCCCTGCTCATCTGCGTGAACGTGCCTTAGGCATGCTGCAAGGAGGCATGAGGACTGCAGATGTGGCCAGGGCAATAAATTGCAATATTCCGTACTGTGAGACGCCTAAGACAGCGCTACAGAGAGACAGGACGGACAGCTGATCATCCTCGCAGTGGCAGACCACGTGTAACAACACCTGCACAGGATTGGTACATCCGAACATCACACCTGCGGGACAGGTACTGGATGGCAACAACAACTGACCGAGTTACACCAGGAACGCACAATCCCTCCATCAATGCTCAGACTGTTAGCAATAGGCTAAGAGAGGCTGGACTGAGGGATTGTAGGTCTGTTGAAAGGCAGGTCCTCACCAGACATCACCGGCAACAACGTCGCCTATGGGCACAAACCCACTGTCGCTGGACCAGACAGGACTGGCAAAAAGTGCTCTTCACTGACGAGTCACGGTTTTGTCTCACCAGGGGTGATGGTCGGATTTGCGTTTATCGTCAAAGGAATGAGCGTTACACCGAGGCCTGTACTCTGGAGCGAAATCGATTTGGAGGTGGAGGGTCCATCATGGTCTGGGGCGGTGTGTCACAGCATCATTGGACTGAGCTTGTTGTCATTGCAGGTAATCTCAACGTTGTGCGTAACAGGGAAGACATCCTCCTCCCTCATGTGGTACCCTTCCTGCAGGCTCATCCTGACATGACCCTCCAGCATGACAATGCCACCAGCCATACTGCTCGTTCTGTGCGTGATTTCCTGCAAGACAGGAATGTCAGTGTTCTGCCATGGCCAGCGAAGAGCCCGGATCTCAATCCCATTGAGCACGTCTGGGACCTGTTGGATCGGAGGGTGAGAGCTAGGGCGATTCCCCACAGAAATGTCCGGGAACTTGCAGGTTCCTTGGTGGAAGAGTGGGGTAACATCTCACAGCAAGAACTTGGCAAATCTGGTGCAGTCCATGAGGAGGAGATGCACTGCAGTACTTAATGCAGCTGGTGGCCACACCAGATACTGACTGTTACTTTTGATTTTGACCCCCCCTTTGTTCAGGGACACATTAATCAATTTATGTTAGTCACATGTCTGTGGAACCTGTTTAGTTTGTCTCAGTTGTTGAATCTTGTTATGTTCATACAAATATTTACACTTGTTAAGTTTGCTGAAAATAAACACAGTTGACAGTGACAGGACGTTTCTTTTTTTGCTGAGTTTATACAGTTGAAGTCGGAAGTTTACATACACTTAGGTTGGAGTCATTAAAACTATTTTTTCAACCACTCCACAAATTTCTTGTTAACAAACTATCGTTTTAGCAAGTCCGTTAGGACATCTACTTTGTGCATGACACAAGTAATTTTTCCAACAATTGTTTACAGACAGATTATTTCACTTATAATTCACTGTATCACAATTCCAGTGGGTCAGAAGTTTACATACACTAAGTTGACTGTGCCTTTAAACAGCTTGGAAAATTCCAGAAGATATGATGTCATGGCTTTAGAAGCTTCTGATAGGCTAATTGACATCATTTGAGTCAATTGGAGGTGCACCTGTGGATGTATTTGAAGGCCTACCTTCAAACTCAGTGCCTCTTTGCTTGACATCATGGGAAAATCAAAAGAAATCAGCCAAGACCTCAGAAATTTTTTTGTAGACCTCCACAAGTCTGGTTCATCCTTGGGAGCGATTTCCAAATGCCTGAAGGTACCACGTTCATCTGTACAAACAATAGTACGCAAGTATAAACACCATGGGACCACGCAGCCGTCATACTGCTCAGGAAGGAGACGCGTTCTGTCTCCTAGAGATGAACGTACTTTGGTGCGAAAAGTGTAAATCAATCCCAGAACAACAGCAAAGGACCTTGTGAAGATGCTGGAGGAAACAGGTACAAAAGTATCTATATCCTTTCGCCAGGCATAATGGGACCCATCTCGTCCAAAAAGTTGACTCAAGTTTGCCAAAAAGCACCTGGATGATGATCAAGACTCTTGGAAGAACGTTCTTTTGGTTGGAGTCATTGCAGCTAAAGGTGGCACAACCAGTTATTGAGTAAGGGGGCAATTACTTTTTCACACAGGGGAATGATGTGTTGCATAACTTTGTTTATGAAATAAATATGTAATTGTTGTGTTATTTACTCACTTATGTTCCCTTTATCTAATATTAGGTTTTGGTTGAAGATCTGATAACATTCAGTATCACAAATATGCAAAAGTAGAGAAAATTAGAAAGGTGGCAAATACTTTTTCAGAGCACTGTATATATATGAAGGTTACCCTAATTTCAGTTGTATATTTTTAATACAAAAATCAAAAACAAAAAAAACTGATTTTGCTTTGTCATTATGGGGTATTGTGCGTAGATTGATGAGGGAAAAAAGCTATTTAATCCATTTCAGAATGAGGATGTAACATAACAACATGGAAAAAGTCAAGGGGTCTGAATACTTTCCGAATGCACTGTGTGTGTATATGTATATGTATATATATATATATATATATATAGTGGGGAGAACAAGTATTTGATACACTGCCGATTTTGCAGGTTTTCCTACTTACAAAGCATGTAGAGGTCTGTAATTTTTATCATAGGTACACTTCAACTGTGAGAGACGGAATCTAAAACAAAAATCCAGAAAATCACATTGTATGATTTTTAAGTAATTAATTTGCATTTTATTGCATGACATAAGTATTTGATACATCAGAAAAGCAGAACTTAATATTTGGTACAGAAACCTTTGTTTGCAATTACAGAGATCATACGTTTCCTGTAGGTCTTGACCAGGTTTGCACACACTGCAGCAGGGATTTTGGCCCACTCCTCCATACAGACCTTCTCCAGATCCTTCAGGTTTCGGGGCTGTCGCTGGGCAATACGGACTTTCAGCTGCCTCCAAAGATTTTCTATTGGGTTCAGGTCTGGAAACGGGCTAGGCCACTCCAGGACCTTGAGATGCTTCTTATGGAGCCACTCCTTAGTTGACCTGGCTGTGTGTTTCGGGTTGTTGTCATGCTGGAAGACCCAGCCACGACCCATCTTCAATGCTCTTACTGAGGGAGGGAGGTTGTTGGCCAAGATCTCGCGATACATGGCCCCATCCATCCTCCCCTCAATACGGTGCAGTCGTCCTGTCCCCTTTGCAGAAAAGCATCCCCAAAGGATGATGTTTCCACCTCCATGCTTCACGGTTGGGATGGTGTTCTTGGGGTTGTACTCATCCTTCTTCTTCCTCCAAACACGGCGAGTGGAGTTTAGACCAAAAAGCTCTATTTTTGTCTCATCAGACCACATGACCTTCTCCCATTCCTCCTCTGGATCATCCAGATGGTCATTGGCAAACTTCAGATGGGCCTGAACATGCGCTGGCTTGAGCAGGGGGACCTTGCGTGCACTGCAGGATTTTAATCCATGACGGCGTAGTGTGTTACTAATGGTTTTCTTGGAGACTGTGGTCCCAGCTCTCTTCAGGTCATTGACCAGGTCCTGCCGTGTAGTTCTGGGCTAATCCCTCACCTTCCTCAGGATCATTGATGCCCCACGAGGTGAGATCTTGCATGGAGCCCCAGACCGAGGGTGATTGACCGTCATCTTGAACTTCTTCCATTTTCTAATAATTGCGCCAACAGTTGTTGCCTTCTCACCAAGCTGCTTGCCTATTGTCCTTTAGCCCATCCCAGCCTTGTGCAGGTCTACAATTTTATCCCTGATGTCCTTACACAGCTCTCTGGTCTTGGCCGTTGTGGTGAGGTTGAAGTCTGTTTGATTGAGTGTGTGGACAGGTGTCTTTTATACAGGTAACGAGTTCAAACAGGTGCAGTTAATACAGGTAATGAGTGGAGAACAGGAGGGCTTCTTAAAGAAAAACTAACAGGTCTGTGAGAGCCGGAATTCTTAATGGTTGGTAGGTGATCAAATACTTATGTCAATCCATTTCTGGATTTTTGTTTTAGATTCCGTCTCTCACAAGTGTACCTATGATAAAAATTACAGACCTCTACATGCTTTGTAAGTAGGAAAACCTGCAAAATCGGCAGTGTATCAAATACTTGTTCTCCCCACTGTGTATATATATATATGACGGTTACCCTCTGCCTTGGGCTGATGTATAAAGCAGGTTGATTCTCTATTTTATGTGTTCAGCCTCCAAGGAGCCTAAGGGAGAGATTTTAAAAACTGCAGATAAATTACCTGTGCACCGAAATTGACTTTAAAAGGTGGTTTTGGCTTGAGCCGCCAGTCGTTAATCTGTGTTGTATTGAATCCCGGGCTAAGCATAGAGTCACATTACAGCTGTAGGACGTGCTAATAAGGTCCCTCTGTATTCATGTCAGGCGGATCAGTATCAAGTCATTTCTATGGTTTTCTCATTGGCCTTAAACTGAACTTCTAAATGTGAGCAAATGGGCCTCCAGCTCCCTAGGAGCTAATGAAATACAATAATATGAAATGGTAAAACAATTTCCCCCTCTGTACTCTTTTGTCCTCCTCTTTCCTCCCCTCCTTCTGTCCTCCCTCCTCTCCTCCTCTCCTCCCTCCCCTCCCCTCCTCTCCACTCCTCCCAGATCTTGGAGTTGACTCTGTTGATGGCCAGCTACATTAACTACTGGACGCCCAGCCTCCCTGGCCCCCCTATAGCCCAGCACCAGTCCCCAGGACCCGGCTCCCCTCTGGAGCCCCGCGGGGCCGGGACAGGGGCTGCGAAGATGTGGAACCTGGACAGCAGACACTTCCCCTCCATGACTTACACCACCAAGGGACCCACTCTACTGTGAATATGTCAAACTTCTTCTATGTTACTCTCATCCCCTCTAGCCTGAAGTGGATTCTGTTCCATATACACAGGACATTTTCATTTCTGAAGATAGTTTTTAAAAACCGTTTAGCCTTGAAAAAGGATCGATACATACCCTATTTCTTGACCTTGGCTGTCTGGTCGTTATCCACACAGTGAGAAATAACCTCAGTATCTGGCAGCTTCTCCCTTCAGCCTCAACTCTTCCCCGCCACTCGTCTCTTCCAGATACATCTGTGTCCCAAATGGCACCCTATTCCCTTTATAGTGCACTACTTTAGACCAGGGCCCTGTGGGAATAGGGTGCCATTTCACATACCCTCTGTCTTTTTTAAAGGGAAAAAAAGCTGTTAAAAAAGGAAAGACTTGATTTTGTTCTGGCTCTTTGGTACCTAATATGGAGCTAGGAAGATTTACGTATTCCTTAAACTAAGGAGGCTTGAAGTGGCGTTAACCTCTACGGGATCGGTGTCCCGTATACAGGACGGTTGAACTAATGTGCGCTAATGTGATTAGCATGAGTGTTGTAAGTAACAGCAAACTTTCCAGGACATAGACATGTCTTATATGGGCAGAAAGCTTAAATTATTGTTAATCTAACTGCACTGTCCAATTTACAGTAGCTATTACAGTGACCAAATACCATGCTATTGTTTGAGGAGAGTGCACAACAACAAAAAACTTACCACAAACTTCAGTTTTTCCTTTCAAATGGTATCAAGAATATGCATATCCTTGCTTCAGGTCCTGTGCTACAGGCAGGTATGTCATTTTAGGCGAAAATTTAAAAAAAGATCAGATCCTTAAGAGGTTAACCGGTTTCTGAGGGAAGCTATTCGACTACAGAGCACTAGTCGTTGCTCACTACCTTCTCCTGACTGGCTCCTGGAGACACCGTCACGTTAGAATGACGCCGTCACGTTAGAATGACGCCATCTGACAGAAGACAATGCATTAAACCAGTACAAAATAATACTTATATTTGAGACATCAAATTGTACTTGATTTTTTCATCAAACAATTGCACAAAATGTTTGACTTATAGATCACAGAAGGCCAGGGCCTGAGGAGGAACAGCCTACTGGGCAAAAACTGGTTGAATCAATGTTTCCACAACATTTGAACCCCCAAGAAATCTATGTGATGACATTGAATCGGCATGGAAAACTAATTGGATTTGGAAAAAGTCACCAACTTTTAATCTAAATCCAATGACAAGTTGAATTTTTTTGTTGATTACACGTTGAATTCAAGTTAGTTGACAACTTAACCAAATGTAAATCAAAACTAGACGTTGAACTGACATCTGTGCCCAGTGGGAGGCAAGGTACTATTACTTATGGTACAAGTGATGATGGTAACGTTTTGACCAAGCAATGTTTTATAACAATTTTGACCACATACTTTTATTGTGAAGTACAGAGTAACACTATTTTTTAAGATGATGGAGATGAATAGAAATGGAATACTGTCCGCTGTATGACAGCCTTAGTCTGAGATGTATGAACTCATTTGGTGGCATGTTCCTACTCCTCCACTTAATACCAGGGTTGGGATCAATTCCATTTTAAATTCAATTCAATTACACTGAAATGTCAATGTCATTTCCAAATCCAGTTTTCCACATTGCCTTTCAATTAGAGAATTTGAAATGGGAATTTCAGTTTACTTCTTAGAATTGACTGAATTTAAATGGAATTTGACCTCCAACCTTGTTGACAACACAGTGGAAGGTACTGGGAACTCAGCCAGGTAGGACTGATTACATGGAAAGGTCCAGCCACATAAGGGTGGACTGGTATGATTAGAGATATTCAAATGTTATTAGTGACATGAATTGTTTTGGATCAAACCACTGTCTTGGTCATTTTCGTGTTATTTATTTAATTTCCTGGTATTTTGTGACTTTTTTTGTATGCTGAAAAGTGTTTGGCAGAACTGTTAAATGTTGAACTGAAACATTCAAAATGGCCTTGACTTTGTTTGTCTCAAGTAGCTAAATATTTTAACTTGACAGTTTTACGCTGTATGGATGCTGTATGATTTGTGAAATAGGGATGTTAGGTTAATGAAACAGATTATAGACAATGTGCTTAGCTGTTATGAAATGTTGTGTTTTAAAATGAAATGAATAAAAAAGTGCATATATACAGTAGAGTATGGTGGTATTTGGCATGGCTTTGGCCTATAAACATTTACACTCAACATTCTGGTGAATACTAAAGCTCTTACAATATGCTTGTTATTTTCTCTCATTATGTTTTTACACACAGACTATCCCCATACTTTGGCAAATGTGCCAGTGTGATGTCAGGTAGGCTCAGCATTGTGCGTATGTTGATGTAGGTGGGGTTTGAAAGCTAGGATGCTAGTTGCGCTGACTTGCTTCATCCAAACGGATCAAAGTGGTAATGATATTTTCCTGCCAACAGTATTGCTATACACATTTTTTCTTTTTTTAATGATTTCTCAAAAACTGTAGTTACTCTATTATGAACAAAAATACTCATTATTGGAAACTCTGCTAACTTGTTGTGCATCATAGGCCCTAGGGCAGGGGTAGGCAACCCTGTTCCTGGAGTGCCACAGGTACTGCAGGATTTTGTTCCAACTAGGCATCACACCTGACCAACTGAGCTAATTGATCAGTTCAGTGATTGCCTAAATTCAACACACCTGGTCTTCCAGGTCGGTTAAACCAAAAACAGGACCAGGGTTGCCTACCCCTGCCCTAGGGCCTACGGTTACTCTTCAGGAAAAATGTTGAAGAGAAGGGTAGCATGGCTTGTTTGAGGTTTGGCCATTCCTTAACGGTGCTTATGTTTATCTTTATTTTAGCCTTCTGAGATTTTAAATAACGCTTGATGTGAATTCAAATAAAGTTTTTGAAGCCCTCCAACAAATTACAGCACAGCATAAATTCACCAAAGGGCATAATTTATTTATCTGTTTAACAGCGTCCCTATTTAAAAAAAGCAGGAAATAGGTGAGCTGTTGATTTTTGGAAAACTCAGTAGATCAACAGGTGTAAGCCTATTTGGGAGCAGAAAGTTGGTAAGAGGTTGAGCGAGAGCACTGGAACAAGAAACACAGTAATCTAGGGCCTTCATATAGGCTGTGACGATGAGCCCTGTGAAGGTAGCCCGCCAGTTCCTCTCCATGGAAACTCTCTTAACGTTACCAAAGGCAGTCGGACATTCTCTTTACGTCCCACACTGAAAAAATATTGTTAAGTGTTTTGCATTGTTTGTTGCCTAAAGCAGGGATGGGCAACTTTGATTGGGGTGGGGGCCACTAAAATGCTTAACTAATGAGGGGCCGCAGTGGCAGTTTTACAGTTAATATCCTGCAATTCTACACATTTTTGACAGAGTGGAGAGAAATGTTTTCAGTTTTTAGTATGATATCTGAGAGAAAGTGTCTAACAAAATCAATGGGGGCCCCGGTCAGTAATATGACAGTGTTTAGGCTACTACAAGTTCAGATAGCTTGCTAGACTAACTTACCAATCTAAAAAATGTTAACTGACATGGGCTAATTGTTTGACTGTCAGTCACTGACATAACAACAGAAAAACTGCTGATGCACATCCAAATTTCGAAATTGCATCTTGTGTATTCTCCTATTCTAAATCTCAACAGTAAATTGAGACCCAGACTGAGTAAAAAAAATCAAAATAATAAAAGTGAAATTGTTCCCCATCCCTGCTCTATAGTCATGTCTAGATTAAGCAGCATTGCATACATTTAGCCAATGCAGTTTGTGAATGCAGGCACTTTGACAGCAGGCTGCTATTTGGCCAAAAATATTAATGCCTCAGCCATAAACCTGTATTAGCGGACCTATATAGACGTCTGTAGCCGGGGCAAAAAAAATAATTTCAGCATCTCCACTTTGGCAAAAAAAGATAGTTGTATAATTAAGAACAGTATCTTGTAGGATTCAGTATTTGGATTTGTAAGAGTTGTTGCCCTGTCCCTTTCTCTGCGATTGTCATTCTAATGGAATCCAGAAAGAAGAAAACCCTGTCCTCAAACATTTACATCAAAGGGTGCAAAGTTATCCACATCAAATTAAATATTTTTCTTGATAAAATAACATAGGAAATCACTTTTTGTGGAGCATTAATTTACCATCCTTACAAACCACTTATTGTATTGGACATACATAGGCTGGTCATCTAGGTTTGTACCTGTAGACTTTCCATCACCTTGAAAGTCAATACACAATACAGTAATTGAGTATATTGAGACATCAAGTGGTTTGTGATGATGTGGTTCAGTTGTTAGAGCATGGGGTTGTCAGTTCAATTCCCACCAGTGACCAGTATGAAAATGCATACATTCACTACTGTAAGTTGCTCTGGATAAGAGCTTCTACTAAAATGTAAAAATAATGAATAGACTATTTCAGTTTTCATATATGAATAAATTGCAATTGCAAAGTATTTCAAGAAACTGGAAAACATATATCAAGCAAGTATTTTTCTATTCCACAAGTATTATCAGATTAACTGTTTTGTACAGATAATTATCAGACTCAAGTTACGAATGCTGGTAAACACTCACATAGAAATACATTTACTTAAACAATTTTCACACTAGCACGGTCAATTTTTTTCTGCATCACAGCCCACCAAAAAAGGTACATTTGTCAGCAAGACACATCAATTAATGTAAGCCTAATAAATGGCATGCGCTGAATGTCATTAGGCAAACTTTTTGGTGTTTTGTAACAGATGTCTATTTCCATTCAGTTTGGATGCTGTAATTATTTTGGAATGGAGGAACATGCACAGGTGGCCTACTTTGTGAAGTGATTTGTCTGACAACAGATGAAAATATCATGCCTTTTTCCACATTTTGTTACGTTACAGCCTTATTATAAAATTGATTAAATTGTTTTTTCCCCCTCGTCAATCTACACACAACACCCCATAATGACAAAGCAAAAGTATCCATTTTTTTTTATTTTTGGAAA